AAAGTTTTAAAAATTTTTTTTAAAGCAATTTTTTGGGAAAAATCTTTTGAAAAGGGCCTTGGGAATTCCCCCTTTTATTTTGGAGGATTTAAATTTTTCTTTAAAAAATTGGGCAAAAGGGGGTTAAACTTTTAGGGCCCTTTCCCCCAGGGGTTTAAAAAAGGGGGGTTTTTTTTTTTATTTTTAGGGGGGAACAGTTTTTTTCCCCCCCCCTTTTTAATTCCCCCCCCCACACCATTTTTTTTTTTTTCCCCAATTTTTTTTTTTTTTTTTTTTAAAAAAAAAAATTTTTGAATTAATTTTTAAAAATTAATTTTTAGGTTCCCAACCCGCCAATATTTTTTTTTTGGGTTTTTTTCCAAAAATTTTTTTGGAATTAAAAATTTTTGCAAAGGGTTTTTTTTTTTTTTTTTACCAATTTTTTTAAAAAAAAAAAAAAAAAAAAAAAAAAAAAAAAAAAAAAAAAAAAACTACACACTCTTTATTTTATAAATAAAAATCATACATGGAAACATATATGTGAATAATAGAAAAATAATTATTGTATTTAATATATAAAAAATAGCACTGATGGAATTTTTATTATTGTTTATTCTTACACAATTTGTCAAATTGTGGTTTTGGTTTCTCAAATTTAGATATGCAAAGTTAAAATGTAAAAAAAATTGCCTTTTCCCATTTTGTTGTTGGAGATGTAACTTCTGGTTTAAAATATGTAAAAGATGTTAATTATAGATATACACCATGTTGTTGGAGATGCTCTAAGCTGTAAGCAATGCCAATCTTGTAATAGATGAGTGCACAGAAATATTAAATAATGATTAAATAAAACGATTAAATCTGACATAAAATACAAATTATCCAACAAAAAAAATCTGATATATTTCTTCAAAATGAAACTTGCAGTAAAACTGAGACAGAAGCAGAAAACAACGTAGTACTAACAACTTAGTACTGGTGGTATGAATACTGCCGATTTAACTGCATAAAAAACGAAACCGATATGCTTATAAATACTTATACCATTCGAAGAAGCTCTACAACAAAAATTCTCAGTTTGCTCTCTGTACAATTCGAAAAACAAAAGACACGTGAAAAAAAATTTAAATTCGACGTTTTCGGTTATGTGAAACACCCAACAGTTAGTAACCCTTGTTTCCACGAATTCGAGCTCTCATGTCAACCTGGAAAAGAAAAATAAATATTAATATACTCAAAAAAAATAAAAATAAAAATAAAAGAGTAAGCACATTTAACATTTATCTTCCAAGGCAAAAAAAAAAAAAGCGATTATTTGAATCGTATTTCATCACTACATTTTAAATCTTCATGCATTTTACTCCCAATCTTGGATGATTTTGCTTGGACAAGGATTTAACAAGTTAGAGGGTGGTAAAATCGTAAAATCGTAGGATACTGGGATTTAAATCGGGATATTAGGATATACCATCTAAACCAATTTGTTTCCATAAACATTCAAGAATCAAGGAAGACCTTCTAGAAAACAAGATAAGATGCATTTACTAAATAGAAGCAAAGCAAATATTAATATTCGACGAGAGTACACGTAATTTCGTCAGTAACCCACACAAATAACTACCCGTCGGAATAAAAAAAAAAACGGCAGGCAATGAGCTTAAGGAATACTATAAAACCATAGTCATGTTTCAAAGGACACAAAACGAACGATTTTCTATTGCACCAAATGTCAAGGAAAAGAGAATAACTTGCTATCCGCCTCTCTCCCAGTTCCACGTCGAAACCCTAATCGTGAACGCAGCTCATTTCTCAAAGGACGATTTCCTTTCATATAGATTCAATACGCATAGTATTAATTGCTAATAAGCTTACAAAAATTATCAGATAATACCGATAATCAAGGGCAGTAACATATCCAAAAAATTCATAGTAATTTGTTCACATCTCTCAAGTATAGAACTTCTTCCCCCTTTTAAGTAGTAATTTCGAGGAAAACACACACACACACACACACACACACACATGCAGATAACACACACAAACACATAATAAGCTTACAAAATTACCAGATAATAGGGTTGTTCATGGGTCGGGTCGGTTGATTATCGGCCGATTATCGGCCCGACCCGACCAACCAACTCTTACAAATATGTAAAACCATTATCGGCCCGACTATTGTGAGTCGGGTAATGGTTGGCAACCGACTTTGTCGGTTGCCAAAACGGGTCGGTTGAAATTATCGGCCAATATCGGCCACATTAATTAAAATAAAAAATAAAAAATGAAAAAAATTATGCTATTCCTCTATCAAAATTCAGCAACAAACATTCCAATATTTCATGCCCAAAATCAATTTCAACGATATCACATGTTACAAATTAAATTTTCAAAAACAATATAAAAACTAAAACGAATCACTTTAGCCATTCACACTTTCACAACACAAAATTCTGAAACTTTTAATTTTAATTTGAGAAAATGAAGAGTATAGTTTTTTTAGTTGTGTATTTTTATTCATTTCACCGAAAGGTCAAAAATTAAATATTGAAACTAATAGTCGGTAAAAACATAAAGAGAAAAAATTTTAAAAAAAAAAAAAAAAAAAAAAAAAAAAGTCGGTTGGTCGGGTAATATCGGCCAACCGACTTTTCAACAAATTAGAAACTATACCCGACCCAACCATGCATGGGTCGGTTAAAATTATCGGCCCGACCAAAACGGGTCGGTTGGTGGGCAATTATCGGCCAGAATAGTCGGGCAGATAATGGGTCGGTTGTCGGGTAAAACCGACCCATGAACAACCCTACCAGATAATACTGATAATCAAGGGCAATAACAATAAGATATCGAAAATTCATAATAATTTGTTCATAGATTTCAAGCATCATAGAACTTCTTCCCCTTTTTCGTAGTGATTTCGAGGAAAATACACACACACACACACACACACACACACACACACACACACACACATAATAAGAAACTAGAGAGGAAAAAACATGCCTGGCCTCTCTTGCAGTTGAAATAGGTTTCTCTAAGCCCCACACACTCGCTGGAAATGTGTGGGCTCTTCTCTTTCGCACATTCTCTATACGGCCGATTCTCTACCTACATCAATTTATCAAAAAAAATCATGATTTACATCACCCAATTCTACAATACAAAATTCCCCAATTGCAAGATATAACCTAAAATTCAAACAAATTCGGTTCGAATCTCGATTACACATTTTCAATTAACCAATCTCATCTCACCAATTAAAAAACAAAGAAGAGAAATCACAAAGGATTCGGTGTACCTTGACGCAATCGGATTCGCTGAGGCATTTGACGAGTTCCGTAGCCAGACCTTTGCACGACTTCGCCATTTCTCTAAAACCTCTGAAGAATTTGTTTCTCTCTGTGTTTTTATTTGGGAAAGATACAGTTTTAGTCCCTTAAGTTTGCATCAATTACAAATTTGGTCCCCTCTGCTTACAAAAAATATATTTGATCCCTTATCTTTCAGAAATTCAATATTTTTAGTCATTTTTTCGTCAATTTTCCGTTAATACTAACGGAATCAAGCGCGTGTACACCACTGTATTAACTGACGGGGACTAACAATAAATTTACTGTTAAATCATTGAAACATGAAGGACCAAATGTATTTTTGGTAAACATGAGCATAGTAGTTAAACTCGCGAGATATCGCGATATATATCGTGAGACGGTACGGTCCCAATCAAAACGATACAACTCATACTCTGTATCGGCAATGCATAAATACCGTTAAATATCGCGAGATATCGTGTCGTATCGCCATATCACGATACGGTACGATATTTACAATATTAGTCAAAATATAAAAAAATCATAAAATAAAAAGAAAAAGGAAGGAAACAAATTATTCACATAATCAGGGCCTGAAAAACGGATTTCAATATCATTTAATGTTTTTCTTACATATATTAGATCCAATAAATTTAAACGACAAATTTAATATTGATAAGAGAAAATAGGGAAAACCCAAAGTTGAAGGGATTGATGAACATGAGAATGAAGACACTCGTTTGAAATTGGTGGATGATAAAGATTTAAGTGAGATTGATCTTGAAGATTATAAGTAATAGATTAGTTTTTTAGAAATGAGGAATTCAAATTTGAACTTTGTTAATGTTATTTTATCAGCAATTATGGCTTTTGTCCAATTTTAATATTTTATGATGCAATACTCAAATTTGAATATATATATATATATATATATATATATATATATATATATATATATATATATATATATATATATATATATATATATATATATATATATATATATATATATATATATGAATGAATGGTTTGACTTTAAAATATTAAATTTTCATGTTTATAATATTTTTATTACGTAGATATATATATTTTATTATTTTTAATAGTTGGTTAAATATCTACGATACGGTACTATAAACGATACGATACGATACACGGAGGAAAACGAACGCCGATATTTTCCGATTCGATAACCATGAACATGAGGGACCAATTGTAAAATCAGTGCAAACTTGAGGGGTGAAAACTGTAATTTTAGTTTTACTTGTTTCTCCTGTATTAGTTAATGGGCCTTTTCCTAAGAGTTTGGGCCTGAAAGTAGTTTTTTACAACAGAATTGGGCTTTTCGTAAATAGTTTAAATCAAAATCCAACACTTGCAAAATTTAAATTCTAAATTACGAAAACACATGGGAATTTTAATTCAAGTATACCTTAATGAATTATATCTATAGTTTACCAAAATTTAATTTTTTTTCAATGAGGATACCAACACTTAAAATATATTCTTATATATACAAGTATGTAATGTAATAACTAAAATTGAACATAGAAGTATAATTTTCTTTTCATGTCTAAACTTCGTCTAAGTGATATTGGGGGCAATAACCTTCTCCTGCTTCGTCTACTCGAAAAATCCAAATGCAGTCATATTTTATGGACTTGCATTGAAATTTTTTGATGCAATCACAATCTATAAGCATTTACAAGAGACTTTCGTAGTTAAAGCGAAATGTAACATGCATGCGGACTACATGTATAAATATTCCAATCTACAATCTTCATACCTTACCGTTGCATCATGCACGTGTGGCAGTAGATGAATGGATGTAATAAACGTTGTTTCAGTGTTAATAATACTGGTTCGACTTCAAATGTAATTTTGACCATTTTAAGGCTTAATTTTCCAAAATTCAAAACACAAAAATTTTCTCCCTTTGAATTAGCCTTCTAATATAACTTGAATCACCAAGATTGGATGTTGAGAAAGATTTGCATGAATCAATGAACATTGCCCATAGTTTTTATATTTTGAGTTATCTAAAATTCAAAATGTAGTTCATTCATGCATAAATTTGTTACTGGACATTTAATTTAGCTGATTCATTTTGCTTTAGAGAGCTAATTCAAATGACTACAATTTCAATATCTTGAGTTTTCCCAAAATAGAGTAAAATAGAGTCAAAGTGACGTTCTAAATTAAAATGATAATAGTAAAATTGAAACTATATTTAATATTTCATTTGTATAAATACTAATATTACTTATAGAATATGGTTAAGAGTTCGAATCGTTTGATCATCCTTATTTTTATTTTGTAATAGAGTGTAAATTAATGCAATAAATAAATGACAACTTGATTTGTTAATACTAATTTGAATATCATATTATCAATAAAAGAATGAATGACAAAAGCTAATAATGAAAACTAAATTTATCCCATGTGCTAATATATTTTGCATAACGTCGGTGTAATATTTAAATCTCAAAATCAACATCAAACCCTAATCAGAAAAACTTTTAAATCTTCAAAAGAAAGGGGCCTTATTAGTTATTAACAGTGCCATAACTGAATTCAAAGATTGCAAGAGCCGAATGCATTGAAAGAAATTGTAAAAAGAGGGCTGATGATAATGTGTACATAATTTTTTGTTTTAATTTCTATATAAAATAATAGAAATTTGAGAAATATACGAGGAGGTGATGGCCCCTTGACATGTGTGGGCTCGCTTATTAAAATTTGAGAGACTTTTAGGTAATTAACCCAATTTTAAATAGCAAATTGATAGAAATGGAATTCGCGTGGGCTGTGTTTGGACAATTATTCTTTGTTTAATTATTATTATATGATGACAGAGTTTTAGGAACCACTAACAATTCAACAAAATAAAGAATTACATATTAGTATATGTTAGAAAGTTAATTACACACGTGAAACACTAATAATGCACTTCCCTAGTTGGTGACCAGAAATAATTTTCAAATAATTATTGAGCAACTTCTATTAATCACTAACGTCACTTTCATTATTTTATTACATGGAATATTACAATTTTCACCCCTCAAGTTTACACTGATTTCGCGCGTTTGGTCTTTTATATTCGCAAATAACACATTTGGTCCCTCATATTTTAATAATTGAACATTTTTAGTTATTTTTGTCAATTTAGCGTTACTCCGTCAGTTAAGGCAGTGATGGGCAAATGCTCGATTCCGTTAGTACTAACAAAAAATTGACGAAAATGACTAAAAATATTGAATTTTTGAAACATGAAGAACCAAATGTATTATTTATAAATATGGGGACCAAATGTGAAATCAGTGCAAATATAACGGACCAAAACTGTATTTCCCCGTTTATTACCAATAAAAAGGAGATGCGAATATAGTAAAACCATTGGAGCCGTTGGATACTCAGACAGCCCTGTAAACAGCTCCATCACTCTCTCTCTCTCTCCTCTCTTTCTCTCTCTAGATTTACATACTTTCCCCAACTGCAATTTGCAAAGACTAAAGATTTCTTTTTTTTTTTTTTTTTCTGCTCAATTGGATAGATTTATTTTCTGAGGCCAAGCTTTTAAGCAGAAACAACAAAGAGAGAGAAAGCAAACAGGCCCATAAATTCTTTATCTTTTTGTGAGAGAGAGAGAGAGAGAATAAAATTAAATATTTGGGAGTTAGTTTTTTTTTTTTTTCTTTTTCCTTTTTTTCTGATGAGTAATGGCGGAAACTACTAAAAGAAGTAAATTTTACCACAACCCCAACTAAAAAACACAGCAGCTTATAATTTTTCTGGAATCTAGCCCCCACAATATCTGATTTTCCCCTATATCCCACCACCTCTTCTCTTCATTTTTTTTTCTCCCATTCTTGTTCACCTTCCTCTTTAATCACAAATTCCCTTTGATCAAGATTGAATCTTTTTTTCTGGGTTTTTTTAAAGTTTTAATCTTTTTTAGTTTTTTTTTGTTAATATTGGATTTTTGAAGAAAAAAAAAAGAATGGCTGTGTCAATGGCTTTCTGTGGGAGTAATTTTGGGATGTATAGCAACTTGAAAGCAATTGAGAAGCAGCCCAATTTGAGGGCTGCTCCTTTGCTTTGCTCTTTTGGCTTGGATCCGGTTCACCTTTCATGCATTGTTTCCAAGAAGAGGTATAAATTCATTTGCCCTTTTCATTATGTTTGTATGTATATGTGTATGTATCTATAAATGTGTGGATGGTTTTTCCTTTTTTTTTTTTTTGTTTTTTTTCATTTTGTGTGTGTATGGGCAATTTTTGGTTCTTGATGTTGTTTATCTTCTTATGTAAAGTTGTGCAATTAGATTCAAGATTTCATTCGGTGTCGCGCCTCTTTAGTTCGATGTACTTGGTCCGATTATGTTCGAGTTATTGGGTTTAATTAGCTGAAAGTTCAGTTCGAAAAAACGAATCTGAATGAGGTGGCGAAGTAACTAGGACCCTCCTCGTTTAAAGACATGTTTTTTTTTTGAAGATCTTGCTCAAGATTTTGAATTGTTAATTAGCTAATGTTACTTATTGCCGATTGATTTAAGTGTGATGCACATTAATTGAAAAATTCTGTTTTAGAAATCTCTCCGATAATCGTGGATGGTCGATTGTGCTGTTTTGCGGCTTATCCAAATCCCGATGTTAGATTTTGCTAATAATTCATTGGACCGTTATATATGCACACTTTGCTTGAGTTTTTGTTTTTACTTGTACGCCAATTGTTAATTGGGGCGTGCATTCGACTCGTCTGTCGTTTTATGTTGCAACTTTTTATGTGTCAGCTTATCATCTTCGACGAGTATATTTATACCAAAAGCATCATCGGCTACTGCTGTGGAGGTATCGAATATCAACTAAAATGAATTTGTCGCTTGTACATTCGATAAAGTTAAAATCTTTATTGTTGAAACAGGACGGAAGCTCGAATGAAACCGACGTCATTCCCACACCAAGTGTCACAATAGATCAAGATTCCGATCCAGATGCCACTATTGTCGAAATCACCTTTGGTGATCGCCTCGGAGCTCTACTCGATACAGTACGACACAAATCTTTTTTCGAGTTTTAAATATTAAATATTTTATTTTAGTATTCGAATAATATTGCTAATTTGCATAATATATATGCCGTGACCATTTATTGATACGCGTGTCAGATGAATGCTCTGAAAAATCTCGGACTAAACGTTGTCAAGGCGAATGTGTATCTCGATTCTTCTGGCAAGCACAACAAGTTTGTGATCACTAGAGCGTAAGTTCTTCGTTAATATCATACCTTTTAATTTCATTTTTTCGTCGTACTAATTTTGGCCTTTTTTTTATGTTATATAATTTGTTTTATTTCCAAATTAATTCTATAACTATTTTATTTTATTTTACGCTTCAGTTCAACGGGGAGGAAAATTGACGACCCGGAATTGCTTGAGGCGATCCGTTTGACTATTATCAATAATATGCTCGAGTATCATCCGGTATATTCCTTGGATTTTAACTTCTTGGGCACGTGGAATTTCTGATACACGATATTCTTTTAGTGATTTTATTTTTATTTGGATCTTAAAAATTGCCGAGTTAAATTTTTCAGGAGTCGAGTGCTCAGTTAGCAATGGGAGCTGCGTTCGGAATGATACCACCACCTGAAAATGTATTGAACCCTTTCGATCCCTTATCCTACCTAAAAATCGAACATATATATGTAATATCTTATTAATCTATATATTAATATTTATATTATATAATTAATTACATAGTATCTACTTCGTTACGCTCGTGTGTGTGTGTGTGTGTGTGTGTGTGTGTGTTTGTATAGTGACATTTAACCACACACATTTAATGTGTGCAGGTTGATGTTGATATAGCGACACATATCCATGTCTACGATGATGGTCCTGAGCAAAGGTAATTAAAAAGCACATGATTAAAAACATTTATCATTTATTATTTATTTTAATTATAAATTAAATAAATAAATAAAAAAAGCTATGGATATTTTTTGCGGGGGAGTGTGAAATGTAATTCTCCATTATTGCAGCTTGCTCGTTGTAGAGACAGCGGATCGTCCAGGTTTACTGGTGGATCTTGTCAAGATCATAACCGAAATAAATATTGCTGTTAAATCTGGAGAGTTTGACACCGAGGTAAAAATGAAAGAAATTCCGTTTCTTGTAATAAAAGCTGGTTATTTTTTATAACACGAAGCGTGTAAATGTTACTTGTTTTGTTTTTTTTCGATTCCAGGGATTGTTGGCAAAGGCAAAATTTCATGTGAACTACAAAAATAAGGCAATCATTAAGCCTCTTCAGCAGGTACGCAACGCTACTTCATTATTGAAGAAATCTTAATTAGCATGATCTTGGCTCGATTATCGTTTAATTTAAATTTAATTAAAAAATTTGACAGGTTCTTGCGAATAGTCTTCGATACTTCTTGAGGAGACCGAGCACAGAGGAAGGGAGTTTTTGATACATTTTGAGGAGGGAGATGTCTTAATAAAACCAGTTTAACGAATATGCTTTTTCTTGTAGCATTTTTCATTCGACAAAAAAAGAAAACGTAAGAAAATATATATATGTCAAGAATTACTGTTTTTCGAAGTATTACTTGTTTATTTCGGCATTATATATGGATGTAAATGATATCTTTTAAAACGGAGGATATTAATTATTCGCAGATTAAGTGTCGTTTTTTCGTCGAAAATGGTGATTTAATCATTTTAATCTGTATCTGTAAGAGGGAATTACTGACATTTTTTAAGTGTCTTGCAACTTGAAACAATGGTGGAAAATTTTCTGAAAAAATTAATATTTGGGAAAATTACAGTTTTCTTTCCTCGAGTTTGCACCAACTTCACCTTGGTCCCTCGTGTTCATAAAAAACACATTTGGTTCCTCATATTTCAATAATTTCACGCTTTGGTCCTTTCTGTTAAATTATCATTAATCGGTCAGTTAAAGCATTTACTGGCACATGCTTGATTCGATAAGCACTAACGGAAAATTGACGGAAATGTTTAAAAGTGTTGAATTTTTTAAATGTGAGGGACCAAATATGTTTTTTTGTGAACATGTGGGACCAAATGTGAAGTCAGTGCAAATTTTAGGGATAAAAACTGTATTTTTCCATTAATATTTTATATAAAGTTTATTATATACAAATTGAAAAAAAAATACACTTTTCGTCCATTAAGTTTAACTGGACTTCACATTCTATCCTCGTTAACAAAAAAAAGTAGATTTTGTCGCTCTATGTTTAAAAAAAATAAACATTTTTCGTCGTTTCCATCAATTTTTCTTAATACTAACATAATCAAGCGTGTGCCATCACTCCCTTAACTGACGGAGAAACGCCGATAACAAAAAAACTGTAACCTCTTTTTGTTCGTTGATGATAGTTTGTAATTTTGTGTTTCATTGGATGTAACACACCACCACAATCACACTCATGAAATTGAGCGAGCGTGTGTAAAATACATATAAATCTATAAAATATATTATAAATCGAGTGAAGTTCATTCGGCGCGCGCGTATGGCGTACACGTAACAAACTTGTGTTAAACACATGCATGATTGAACTAGAAAGAACAGCGCGTGGCTAATAAATCCTCATCTACACAACTGTATACATACTAATTATACATACATATATACTCATGCATGGATCATTAGAAAAGCTACTGATCCTTGAACATTATATTTAAGGGTTTTACAATTTTATTTTATTTTATTTTATTGACAATATATTTTTCTGTCAATATTATTACAGCAAATATGATGATGTCTGAAAAAAAGAAAAAAAAAATGAGAGTGGGATGACAATTGACAAGAGATGGATAAGGAAGTTGTTATGGAGATTTATAGTCCACTGGCTGTTGGTGCCAAAGGGATAAGGTGCTGCTTTTTTATCCCATCATCAAACCATTAAAGTGGCAGAGAATCAATATTTTCTATCGGTAAATTACGGTCAGCTCTCGAGATAAAATTATAGAAAAAAAAAAATTTGTTTGAATAATTACAACCACTCATCTCAATTATGAATCTTTTTTAACGTCCAACCTTGTGATGTCAAATTCAACAGAATTTTTTCTGGATTATGTGGAATGTTCTTTAGTTTGTATTCGTTTTGTGCAAAAATGCAGTTTCTGATGACCACAATCTGGTATTTACAAGCCAAGAGACAAATCTTATGTCATCTTGTTTCAAAATGTGAAGCTGGAATAGGGTTAAACATGTACAAATTGGAGAATATTTCACATGATCTAGAAGATTCCACTATATTTGACACCGCAAGGATGAATGTGTAAGAAGATGGGTAAATTACAACCACCCCCTGAGGTATGGTCAAATTACGAAAATCCCCCTCCAGTTTGGGTAATTACAACCACCCCTCAACTATAAATCTTCTTACACGTCCACCCTTGCGGTTTTAAATTTAGTATAATCTTCTAAATTATATGAACTATTCTCAATTTTGTACCCGTTTCATCCCATTCGAGCTCCACATTTTGAAGCAAGACGATCATAAGATGTGTTTTTTGTCTTGTATATATCAAATTGTGGTATATCAGAAACTGCGTTGTTGCACAAAACTAGTACAAATTGAAGAACATTTCACGAAATCTAGAAGATTATGTTGAATTTGACACCATGGGTAGATCTAATTATCCAAACATGAGGGTTTTTTTCGTAATTTGACCATACCAAAGGGAGGTGGTTGTAATTTACCCGTAAGAAGATTCATAGTTGAGGGATGGTTGTAATTGCCAACACATGAGGGAATTTTTTTATAATTTGACCTTACCCCAGGGGAAAAATTGTTAGACGATGCATAGCTAAAGAGGGTGAATGTATAATTACTCAAATAAGATGGTTCAATTTCTTTTGGTGTTCGTAATTTTTTTCCAAAAATATATGAACTAAAATACAATGTAGAACAAGAAAATATAATTATGAACGGGGAAATACATTTTCAGTCCCTCAAGTTTTTATTTATTTCACATTTGGTCTTCCATGTTTACAAAAAAATGCATTTGAACCCTCATGTTTCAAAAATTCAACAATTTCAGTCATTTCCTTCAATGTTTCGTTAGTACTAACAAAATCAAGCGTGTGCCCGCCATTGTCTTAACTGACGGGCTAACGGTAAATTGACGAAGATGATTTTTTTTTCTTTAATTACGGAAACTTTAGGGACCAAATATGGAATTAGTATAAAATTAAGGGGCGAAAATTGTAATTTTGCCATACTAAACGGTTGATTTACCTAAATTTGACTTCGGCCCAATGTAGCCCACAAAAGTTAACCCCATTGAATGCAAAACTGGGGAAGCCCGCCCATAAATAAAGCCCATACCTTCATTTTATCTTCTAATTATTTTGATAAAAATAAATAAAATAAAATATTTGTATTTCACCACACCCTTTTCCCAACAGCATGGAACTGAAATATTCATTTTTAAACTAACATCCAAAAAAATTAAAAATAAAGTAACTAAAAAACAAGCACAGCCCATTCTCTGATCCAAGCATGATGAACACCTTTAATTTAATTTAATTTATTTTTATTGGGGAGATAATAAATTGTCCCTTTGTGCAATTTTTTTCACTATAAATTTGTGCAATATTTTTAGGCATAACATATGATTGGTTGTTTCTTGGAAGAAATTATTTAGGTAAAGAGATAAGAGAAAAAATGGCTTCTGCAACAGCTGGTAGAGGGGCACAAACCATGAATTCTATGTATTTCAAGTAAGTTTTCGACTTATTACGCGATCTCGTTTTGTAGATGCGACACTCAATGAAATAAACCAGGGTAACATATCGCGTATTGAATAAATACATGTGTACGGTATGATTAAACCCCGATGAAGTTTGTTTGATACATCATAGAGTAAACGTATACGCGGTATATATAACCTGCACTACATGTAAATAATCGAGACGGTGACTTGTGACAACGATGAAAGATATAAAATATGATGGGTTTTTTTTTAGTTTATCTTGAATTTTTATTTATAAATATTATTTTACTATTTATTTCCTTCTTGTAATAAAGTTATGTACGAAATCTTGGATTTCGGGGATGGTGATTTTTTATTTTATAAATTAGTTATATAAATTATATAATATTGTTAGAATATACCGGTGAAGTCTAACGATGATTTATACTATATATGGGGCTATTTGCCAAAACCCCCTCATTGAATTTCGAATTCATGATAAATCCATATTTTTTTGTTGATATTTGTGATAAATCCAATTGATTTCAATTATCTAAAATGCCCCTACTTAAGATTATTGAAAGTTACCATATATTATTATGGAGAATCAATTAATTCTTTTTAAATATTCAAATCCCCCAAATTTCTCACACTCTCAATTCTCACGTCATTCTAGTTTTTCTATTTCTTTTTCTTTTTCTTTTTTTTTTTAAAAATACTTTCTTTATTTCGAATTAAACAAAAATTGGTTATTTTTTTTCTTTTTTATATTCTTTCAGTTTTTTAAATTTGTGAAATCCACTACATACTCATCAAACACCACTATAAATTTATCGAAAACCACTACAAAATTGAAGTAAATATTAATATAAAACTAACGTAATCTACATTAATATTAATGTAATCCACTACAAACTTATCGATTTTTTTTGAAAATGGTTTTTTTTTCCAGTTTTTTTTTTAAATAAAAACCACTCTGTAAACATCTATATAACGTGAAAACCACTATGTATAACAATTATATGACATGAAAACCACTCTATATAACAACTATGTAAACTTGAAAACTACTCTGTATAACAACTATGTCAACATAAAAACCACTCTGTATACACAGTTTATATAAAAATATGTACAAAAATTATTGAAAATCACTATAATACTATAATTTTTATACATATTTTTATAGTGGTTTACGGAAATATATATATATATATATATATATATATATATATATATATATATATATATATATATATATATATATATATATATATATATATATATATATATATATATATATATATATATATATATATATATATATATATATATATATATATATATATATATATATATATATATATATATATATATATATATACACACATATATATATATATATATATATATATATATATATATATATATATAGAGAGAGAGAGAGAGAGAGAGAGAGAGAGAGAGAGAGAGAGAGAGACGCATAATAGAAAAATATGTTCATTAATATGGGTAACTAATTTCCTAATTATTAGGACCCTTTAATGGAAAATATATTGTAAATCTTTTAATATCAAAATTAAATATACCTTATTTCTTAATTAGGGGTACAATGGTGATAATTAAATTTTTTTAATTAATAAAAACTGTTTTGGATTTATCTTAAATATGCAAAATGAAATTGGGCTCATTGTAATGACACTTGTGTAATGAGGGGGTTTTGTCAAATTATCCCACTATATATACGATATTGTCAAATTTATTCAAATTTATTCATATTTATTCTTATTATGTGTGAATCTATACTACAATATTAATTGGTTAAATTCATATTTTTTTTAATGGCTTTAATTGACCTATGTAACCCCACTCAAAGGGGATAAAACAGGCTATTTCACTTAGCATTGCATAATTAAATTGGACCATATGAGGAAGTATCCTTCTTTGGCTGAAAAATAAGGTTACAAATTTGGGTAACAATTTAACAAACTATTATTATTTAAATTTCCAATTTACCCCATTTTAATTTTGTTAATTTGTCAATTGAATCCATAGGCCAATGCTGAGGAAGGCCTATCACAAGAAAAGTGGGTCCCCCGATATGGTGAGCGACACGGTGAAATTGAACGGGGAGGAAGTGAAGCAGAAAGCCACCGTCTCCGTTGCCGGCGTCGGTGCCGGAAACGGAGACGGTAGTTGGTGGGTCCGGGACGATCGGACCGGAATATATTACCCGAAGGGGCAAGAGAAGGTGATAGAAGATGTTCCTCAAGGGGCAGGGAAAGATTTTGGAGCAGTTAATTGGTTTGATTAACCTTAATTACTACCACTAATAATGGTTTCTTATTAGTTAATTTCAAGTGTATTATGTATATTGTTGGGTAATTTGTTTGATTGAACTTGATTACTACCATTAATGGTTTCTTATTTGTTAATTTCAAGTGTATTATCTTTCCGGTTAAATGTACAGTAGAACCTCGATAAACTAATAACATCGCCTAAATAATAATTATTTCGAGTCCTAATTCGGTAAAAACTTACTAAATTACTAGTTCAATAATTTAATATTTTGCTAAATTAATAGAATTTTAATAGTTACGACTGTATTAATTTGTAGAGATTTATGGACTTGATGAAAAGGGTATATTGGGTAAAACATCAATATTTGTTTTACCCACACCAAAATGAATGCATGTATCTTTTCTGCGAGAAAAAGCGAATTTTCTAAATATTATAATCAGATCAAAAAACAATTTTTCAATAATTTTATTTACACTTGTGATTCATGTGAAAAAGAAAATTGTAATTTTTCTGGAACGTGAAAAAACAATTTCAGTTCAGTTCCATAAAATTTCAAAAATAAAATAAACTCGAAAGTCCAAAAATTGAAATAGAATAGTTTGTTCCTAATTAAATTGCAAAATTTTGAATCGACAAAATTCAGAAATTCCAATTTTGTTATTTGCCTATAATTAAAAGGGATAATTAGTGAAAACCCCCCACATCATTTACATATATTAGGGTGGGTTTAACCCCCTTTTCATAAGTAGTGAAACCCCCTCATGTATTAAATTCAAATTTTTATGAATAATTTCATAATTGACATTTACATATTCACCCTTGTGTAATTAATTTACTTTAAACACGTGATTTGAAGAAAATCTTTGAGATTAAATTAATAATCCTAATTATAATAATAATAATTATAAATAAAGAAACCTTGCCAACTGTATAACATCAAATCCTCTAAATCACTACAACAATGGCGGACGCATTGTGGTTGTAAGGTACGCGCGCACAGAAAACTCCTTTCCGCTCCGTTCAAATGGCCGGCGAAGGCGCCACCGGCGAAGGCCCTCCGCCTCATCTCCGACGTCGTTCGGATCTCCGGATCCGGGTTCTCGGGCTTCTTTAAGAAAGATTGTACGGACACGGCGAGAAGAGTCTCGCTTTTGGCCCATTTGGTTGAAGAAATTAGGGATTCGAAGAGATTTCAATTAAATTGTGAAGTCGGCGGCTCTTCTTCTCTCTCCACTCCTTATTTTGCGGATCTAACGCTAGCTCTTTCGATCTGTTGGTATTTTTTTTTTTTTTATTCTTTCGATTTTTGGAAGCATCCTGGAATCCTCGTCGGAAGACCGCCTCCACCACCGCTGTAATGGAATAGATTGACCTCGAGGAGGAGGTATTGTTTGGGAGGCTGGTTTGTTGAAATTATGTTCGTGTTACTCAAAAAGATATAGTTGTTTTCGTTACGGTTGTAGTTGGTTTCAATAATAGTCGTTTTTGTTGGAATTTTGGTGTGTTTTTTTGCTTTTGCTTTTGCTTTTGTGGATTTCAATAATTTGCAGTTGATTCAATATAGTTGTTTTCGTATAGCAATATAGTTGTTTTTGCACAACAATATTATTGTTTTCATTACTTTTTAGTTTGTTTGAATAAATAGTTCATTTAACAAATAGTTGTTTTGGAGATGTTTTAATTAAATAATTAGTTAATCTTACAATGGAAATAATATAATATATAATTAATTTAATAAATTGTGAAACTGATGTATCATTGTTTTAATACCAATTGTTTTAATAATAGTCGTTTTATAATAGTCGTTTTAATAATAGTCGTTTTATTGGCATATAGTTGTTTTAACTGAAAACTAAAATAATATAGAAAAGAAATATTTAAAGAAAAATATTAAAAAATATATAAATTTTTTTTTAAAAAAAATATTATTTTAGAAAGAAGAAATAAATAAAAAAACGAAAATTAAAATAAAAATATAAAAAATAAAAAGATATATCAAACTAGTGGATAATGAGTAGTGAATAGTGGGAGGGTAAATTTGAGAATACAAAAAAAATGGGTTTCTCACTAATAAAGGAAAATGAGCTGGACCCATCCTTATTAAAATAATGTTAGAGGGGGTTCTCACTAATAGTCCCTAATTAAAAAGAATGGTAATATTAACATTATAAGTGTAAATTTGAAATAAAAAACCATTTGGAAAATTTTCACAACTAATTTGACAATTAAATTATTATACATTCGAATTTCGATCTTAAAACGAAAAAACATTGTTATAAAACAAAAACATAATCAAATCAAAATCAACTGAATTCAAAACTTCCATTCTAATTTTCACTCTCTCAAACTTAAAAGTGTTGTTACTTAATCCAAATTATAATTCTCATGAAACATGCAAATTACAAAAAATGATCTATTTCACGCCAACATACTACACAACACGTACGAATTGTAGTAGGTAAAAACGTCGTCGTCCAACGGCCGTCGCTCTAATTAGTAGGTAATATCTTACGTGGAACAAGTCCACACACACCATCATCAAAAAAGTCAACTTCAATAACATCTTTACCTAATCTACGTGGACCCCACTTTTCTCCCACCCAAACCTACGCTTTCTCACCAACCCCACCACAATTTCACTAATTAAAAAAATGGTAAATTACAACCACCACCCTCAGGTATGGTCAAATTACGAAACCCTCCCTCTTGTTTTGGTAATTACAATGATCCTTCAATGATAAAATCTTGTTGCCCATCCACCATTGTCGTGTCAAATTTAGTGGAATCTTCTAGATTATATGAAATATTCTCAATTTGTACCCGTTTCATCCCATTCGAGATCCACATTTTAAAGCAAGACAATCATAAGATGTGTTTTTTGGCTTGTATATATCAGACTGTTGTGCACCAGAAACTACAATTTTGCATAACAAGAGTACAAACTGGAGAACATTTCACGGAATCTAGAAGATTATGTTGAATTTGACACCATAAGAGTGGACATGTAAAAAATATGCATGGTTGAGGGGTAGTTGTAATTATCCAAAGATAAGGGGGTTTCCGTAATTTGACTATACCTTAGGGAGTGGTTGTAATTTACTCTAAAAATTAAAGAAAATGTCAATTCCCTAATCTACCCTTAAAACAACCCATAAATTCCCATCAAATCCCTCCCCACCTCACCAACCTTTACCAATACATTGCCCATATTTATACTTCAAAATGTTCAACCTTCAAATTTAGGTACCAAAACAAAGTTGATACCAAAGTATATTTTTTTTCTCTCTCTAAATTTCAATAACACAAATGGAGAATATTGTAGCCAAGCAAGATGATGACATCATATTCCGATCGAAGCTACCCGATATATACATACCCAAACATCTACCTTTACACACGTATTGCTTCGAGAATATCTCCAAATTCAGTACGAGGCCGTGTTTAATAAACGGTGCGACGAACGAGGTTTTCACGTACGAGGAAGTCGAATTGACTGCCCGTAAAGTGGCGACGGGTTTGAGTAAACTCGGAATCCAACAAGGCGACACGATCATGCTGCTCCTCCCCAACTCCCCCGAGTTCGTTTTTTCGTTCCTAGGCGCATCGTACATAGGCGCGATTTCCACCATGGCAAATCCCTATTTTACCCCTGCTGAGGTCATCAAGCAAGCAAAGGCCTCGGGGGCAAAGGTTATTGTTACACAGGCGTCCTACGTGGACAAAGTGAGGGATTACGCGCTTGAGAAGCGCGTGAGGGTGGTTTGCACAGACGCGCCCCCAAATTGTGACGACTACTGTGTGGCGTTCTCGGAGCTGAGTTCGGCGGACGAGAAAGAAATGCCGGCGGTGAAGATCAACCCGGACGACGTGGTGGCGCTGCCGTACTCCTCCGGCACGACGGGGCTGCCGAAGGGGGTGATGCTCACGCACAAGGGTTTGGTTACCAGCGTTGCGCAGCAGGTTGACGGCGAGAATCCGAATCTGTACATCCACGGCGGCGATGTGGTGATCTGCGTTCTGCCGCTGTTCCACATCTACTCGCTGAACTCCGTTCTGCTGTGCGGGTTGCGGGTCGGGGCGGCGATCCTGATAATGCAGAGATTCGAAATCGACCCGTTTCTGGAGCTGATTCAGAGGTATAAAGTGACGATTGGGCCGTTTGTGCCGCCGATTGTTTTGGCAATTGTGAAGAGTCCGTTGGTCGGGAAATATGACCTTTCGTCTGTACGGACGGTGATGTCTGGGGCGGCGCCGCTGGGTAAGGAGCTGGAGGATGCCGTCAGAGTTAAGTTTCCGAATGCCAAACTTGGCCAGGTAATTAAATATATATTTAATTGTTTGTTTATTTATAATTATTTTTAGAACCATATTTAATTATTTTTTTGAAAATCAGTTTATATTGGGAAAATTACAATTTTCATCCATTTAGTTTGCACTGATTTTACATCTGGTCCCCATGTTAACAAAAAACACATTTGGTCCATCATATTTCAGTAATTTAACATTTTTTGGTCATTTCCGTTAATTTACCGTTAATTTGTCAATTAAGGAAATGAAGGGTACACACTTGATTCCGTTAGTACTAACGGAAAAAATCGACGGAAATAACTAAAAGTGTTGAATGTTTGAAACATGAGGGACCAAATGTGTTTTTGTGAACATGAGTGACTAAATATGAAATTAGTGTCTTGAGGGATGAAAACTTTATTTTTCACGTTTATATTAGTACATTTTTTAATTGGGAAAATTACAGTTTGCACTGATTTCACAATTGGTCCTATCATGTTTACAAAAAGCACATTTGGTCCCTTATGTTTCAATAATTTCATATTTTTGGTCATTTTCGTCCATTTGCAGTTAGTCCGTCAGTTAAGGCAGTGATGTGCACATGTTTGATTCCATTAGTACTAACAAAAAATTGACGAAAATGACTAAAAAATATTGAACTTTTGAAACATGAAAGACCAAATGTGTAATGGGTGCAAACGTGAGGGTGGAAATTGTAATTGTTCCTTTTTTAATTGCAATATTGAATTTTTAATTCATTTAAGAAATCGGCGTAATAAAAGAAACAGTCTTTAGGACTAATTCAACAATATTTGAAGCGTTGAAAATAAATAAATTAATGAATTAATAAGAAAAACGATTATTTCTTTTTTGGTACATAGGAAATTTCCAAGAATCAAGGTACAAAATCAAATCACAGAAAATATGACTATATATATATATGTATATATATATATATATATATATATATATATATATATATATATATATATAATAGAATGATTTGTATTTTTTAATAAATAATATAATAAAAATTAATTTCGTGTTTATGAAAATTTCAGGGTTATGGAATGACAGAGGCAGGGCCAGTTTTGTCAATGTGCTTGGCATTTGCGAAAGAGCCGTTCGAGATAAAATCAGGTGCATGCGGGACCGTCGTAAGAAACGCCGAAATGAAAATCGTCGACCCTGAAACCGGTGCTTCTCTTAGCCGGAATCTCGCCGGAGAGATTTGTATCAGAGGTGATCAAATTATGAAAGGTATGTATTAGACGATAATTAATAATTTTATCTTTATAACTTTTCAATTATTTTTTATGAAATTCGACTATATACATAAATATATAAGTTATAAATTCAATTTGCCTATATTATATTCAAATAATTACGCCATGATAGATATAATTTGGCTTTTTTCGTAGTTCAAATTAATCGACACTTTTTTTTTTTTTTTTTTAATAAATTGTCTCAACTCAATTTTGGTAATTTTAATTTAAATAAAAATATTATATTCCTGAAAAAAAAACCATGAATTCAGCCAACAGCGAGACGTCACGATTGACATCAGCATGACGCACAGACACACATTTGGGCCATAAATACCTACTCATTAGATTTCTTTTAACCTAATATATATATATATATATATATATATATATATATATATATATATATATTTTTTTTTTTTTATTTCTTTTTTTTGGAAAGATCTTTTTAACCTACTATTTGCTAACAATCGTTTTCTCACTTATTACTCCTTTCACCACACTATTATAATAAGTAACATTCAATTACTAAAAGGATCAAAACAATTAAACATGACACCAAACAAAAAAAACCAATTTGAAAATAAATTTATTTTCTTAATTGGCATTGGTCTAGGTTATCTGAACGATCAAGAATCGACCGAGAGAACAATCGACAAACAAGGGTGGTTGCACACCGGAGACATAGGGTTCATCGACGCTGACGACGAGTTATTCATCGTTGACCGTCTAAAGGAAATAATAAAATACAAAGGGTTCCAAGTTGCACCGGCTGAAATCGAAGCCCTTCTACTCAACCACCCCTACATCTCCGATGCTGCAGTTGTCTCGTACGTTACAATCATAAATTAATTTTAAATTTAATATAATTAAAATAAAAATATGGATTTTTAATTATTACTTTTGTTTTAAAATATTATTATTTTGTAATTATTAAATTTTGCAGCATGATTGATGAGCAAGCTGGAGAAGTGCCAGTTGCTTTTGTTGTGAGATCAAATGGTTCCACCATCACTGAAGATGAAGTCAAACAGTTCATTTCTAAGCAGGTCAACCTAATAATTATTATTATTTTTTTAATGAATTTTCGATTTTATAATAATTAATAAATGATTTTTTTTAATACCAAAAATATTGTTGCAGGTGATTTTCTACAAGAGGATAAATCGTGTTTTCTTTATTGATGTAATTCCCAAATCTCCAGCAGGCAAAATATTGAGAAAAGATTTGAGAGCAAAATTAGCAGCTGGTGTTGCTAATTAAGAATCTTAATCACATGTTATCATATGTTTTGCGTGTTATTATTATTTTTTTAATTCGAGTACAAATTCATGCTTGTATATTATATATATGTGAAAGAATATAATGCGAAAAATTCGACAATGTTTATCATATAATACACTTCGAATTATTCGTCAAATTATGAGATGAATTTATATATAGCGCAAACTATCAATATAAATAATATATCAAATATATAGTGTGCTCGAGGCATCGATGTGGTTAGGTCGAATATATAAAGTTAACATCGACAACTTTTAACTTTCATACATCTTCAGTATAATGTAATCGATGTTGGTGTAAGTCACGTGTGTATTTCACGCTGATTTTCAATTTAATAATTATAGAAATAGAATGGATCGAATCAGAATTTGCACTTTCGGAATTTTTTTATGATTTTTACGAAAGTGAAAAGTTAATTTCGATTTCAATTTCTTTGTTAGAGATTGATGCAATGGTGATGACACAATGACAACATACAACACTATACATTTCTTCATCCTTGATTAAAATTTTATAATTTCTAACATCTTATATTACAAAATTGATATGACATTACTTTGGGACTTGTAATTAGGGGTGAGAAAAAATAACGATAAACCGAAAACCCAAATCGAAAAAACGAAAAAACCTAGATGATATGCACCGTCCCGACTTTAAAGCCGTATGTACGGTAATTTTTTATATTATTATTTGTGCAAACCAAAAAAAAATCCATTTGTATATGGAGATATATATACAGAAAAATGTCAAACCGATTTGCGTACAAAATGACGTTGTTTTTATGTCGAACCGAAACATGTTTGGTTTTTAGAAGGTGAAAAACCGATCTTATCGATGCGCGTTTGTTTTTTCGCAAAATTCAAATCATACCAGCCCGTGCACATACCTAATTGTCATAACATTTTGTACACTATTGTATTGTAATCACCAATATTAATATAAATTGTACAAAAATCTAGTAATTTATCTAAAGCTATTAGTCGTATCCGTAAAACTATTGCAACGTTGCAATGTAACTGGAACATTAATTTCTATCTATGACACTCTCCGCAACCGTTTCGACGAACCATGAAGTCACCATCGCACATCTAAAATCAAACAAATAAATGACAGCGGATTAGTAGAAATAAAAGTTGGTTACCAAACAATCAATCAAACAAACAAAAATTGAATGTTGGTTACCAATATATATATATATTTTGTTTTTACTTGATTGTTTATAAAAAAGTTTAATACTTTATTTTTATTTCACTTTGTACCCTCATAATATCTCATTTTGGCACTTTGTACCCTCAAAAATAATTTATCGCACTTATACCCTCAAAACATGTTTAATCATTCAAATTGCACCCTACTTTATTTTCCAACCAGAATTTTCATCATTGACCAATTTCGTGATTGTCAATAGAGTCATTTATGCTTGAAAATACATTTGCATTTAGTATCCCAAAGAAAGAAAAACAATTGAATATACAAAAATGACCATGTTAACCATCATAAAATAAGTCGACAACGGAAAAGAAAATTATGGCGAGAAAATACACAATGGTGCACTTTGAACGATTAAACATGTTTTGGGGGTGCAAAGCGCCATAGATTATTTTTTGGGGTGCAAAATGCCAAAATGGTACATTTCGAGGGTGCAAAGTGAAGTTAAAACTTTTTTTTATGGCATTCGAATTGTGAAAAATACAATTTTCGTCCCTCACGTTATCACCGATTTTACATTTTGTCCCTCATGTTCACAAAAATCACATTTGATCCCTCATGTTACAAAAATTCAACAATTTTAGTCATTTCCGTCAATTTTCCGTTAGAACTAACGGAACCAAGCGTGTGTCCATCAATGCCTTAACTGACAGACTAACGGTAAATTGACAGAAATGACCAAAATCATTAAATTATTTGAAACATGAGGGACTAAATGTGTTTTTTGTAAACATAGGGGACCAAATATGCAATCGGTGCAAAGTTGAGGGATGAAACTTATAATTTTCCCAATTCGAATTACAGAAAAGTTTATTGCTTTGCCTTTGGATGTGAAGAGTGAAGATGGGTTGTGGCGCCAAAACACAAGATAAAGTTAACGGAATTATGAATTTTGTGAAATCCAAATTGTAAGGCCCAAAATTTCTTGCAATAATGAAAATCAAATAAATAGAAATATCAAGAAAAAAAAAAAAAAAAAAAACACCAAAAAACCCCCCAAATTACAACAATGGCACTCTGCTTCCAAATCCCCCCTTATTTAATCAAACCCCAATTCTCACCAAAACCCTACAATCCCCAATTCACCCACAGAAACCCCTCCAATTTCCCCGCAATTTGCTGCAATCAGACCGAAGGAAATGACAATCCGGCGGCAAACGCAACGGAGAAGCAGCAAAAGAAAATTTCCGAACAATCTTCGTGGGAATCGAAGGATTCCGAGGGCAAAGATTACCTGTACAGGCTCGGCGCAGAGGCCGACAACATGAATATCGCCGTCGGAGCTAGGGCTGGCGTAATCGATGACCTATTCACCGGCAATTTCCTCGGCAAAGACGGTAAATCGAGTAACTATTGTACTGTATGTAATCTCTCGAGTTTGGAAATCGAATGTAGTTTGATGGCTTGTGTGTATTTGGTCAGCGGATATTGTGTTCGATTATCGGCAGAAGGCGACGAGGACTTTCGAGTATCTTCAAGGCGATTATTACATTGCGCCGCTTTTCCTGGTACATTATTGTGTTAATCGGTTGATTTTCTTTTTTTGTTATGATTTTTTTGCGTAATTGGCCTGATCTTGCTATGTATTTTGTTTTTGATACGACAGGATAAAGTGGGTAAGGTCATTCGATTCGATCTACGTAAAAGAGACCGGTTTTCGAGTCGAAGAAAATGCACTCATAAGAAGTGATAATTTTCCGTTGCTATACGTTTTAGGAATGCATGTTCGTTTCCACTTTCGTCTATCCTACAATTTAGGAAATCGGGAGTCTTTATTTTTCCATGGATGTTTGATTTATCTTAGGAGAATGTGATATATGGTTGAATTTTTATTTCGGGAAAATTAAACGGAATTTCGAGAAAACAGACGCACACAATAAGAACTAACGAAACAACGGAAATTCTGCCTCGAGCCATTCATTTTCAACATTTATATTTTGTTCGATTGCAGTTTGCCACATTGTGAAGAACTACATTGCGCATCATCTCAACGTCAAAGTTCCGTTAATTTTAGGTAAGCATATTCGAATAGAACTTTTTTTCTTGTTTGTTCTATGCTTACGTAAGATAATATATTCACTTAGCATTTTAACAAATTTTCCGAGTTTGAAGATTTTATATATAATATATTATCAATAATTGGAGAATAATATTGCAAATTTTTCGTGTGGCAGGAGTTTGGGGTGGAAAAGGGCAAGGCAAAACTTTTCAAACTGAACTTATTTTCCAGGCAATGGGAGTCGAACCAATTATTATGTCAGCTGGTGAATTGGAATCCGAAAGAGCTGGTACGTAACGTGATTTCGGGAAATCCCGTTTATTTCTTTCGACAAATTTACTGTGTCGTAATTATTCGAGTTTTTATTCTACTCTGTGTAGGAGAACCAGGAAAACTGATACGTGAACGGTACAGAACTGCTTCTCAAGTGGTTCAGAACCAAGTTAGATACCATATTACTTTCCCTGCCATGTATCTCTCGATTTCTAACATTTTTTTTTCCTTCGTCTTTCGGTTACTGCTCTCGTATTATTTTGTTAATTAAATATCTCTCTATCTTCCGTATTAGTTTATTAGCAATGTAATTTGAGTACGAGTCTCGTTTTTTTTTTTGTTTGAATGGCCATAGGGAAAAATGAGCTGTTTGGTGGTCAATGATATTGACGCAGGACTCGGTCGATTTGGTGAGAAGAATTCGTCTTTTTTTTTTTTTTTTTTTTTTTTGAAATTCTCGACTGTCGTATGATTCGATATACCAGATAATTAATATGTTTTTTTTTTTTGGTTGACGAAGGTAACACTCAAATGACGGTGAACAACCAAATAGTGGTGGGTACGCTAATGAATTTAGCGGACAATCCGACAAGAGTAAGTACAGGGCAAGTTTGGAGAGAAACGGACATTACGAATAGGATTCCGATTATCGTCACAGGAAATGATTTTACGACAATCTATGCTCCGTTGGTTCGTGACGGAAGGATGGATAAATTCTACTGGTAACTCTGAATTCATGTTTTTGAATATTGCGAATAATGAACTAAGAATCGTGTTTATGTATATTAAACCATTTCTGAAACCGATCCAAGGTTTCTCTGAATATTTGATCCATTATATAACTAATCTGGATGAACTTGTTGTATCAAGACACGAACGAATCGAGACAAAAAAATTATTTAACGTTGTCGTTTGGCCTTAGAATCAAATTTTCTGGTACAGGCAGCCCACCCAAGAAGACATTGTAAACATTGTCCAAAGAATGTACGAAAAAGACGGCATCACAAAAGACGAGGTTGTTACCATCGTGCGCAAATTTCCTAATCAAGGTAACAGCAAGTTTGTCTATTCATACTTTTGATTTCCTTTTTCTCGTGTGATTATATATTCCGAAAGTAGATTTGTGAAAAATTAGTTGATAAAAAGTTTCAAAATTTCATACACACGAATACGACCAAAGAAACTTACGTTTTGCGTTTCTTCATTTTCTTTTTTTTTTTCTGCGTGGCAGCATTGGACTTTTACGGTGCTCTAAGGTCAAGAACATACGACCGTTCAATCCTAAAGGTACATATATATATATATATATCAATAAATTTCAAGGTCCAATTTCGGTTAAAAATAGTAAAATAGGGAGTTCATTTAATTTTCTTGATAATGTCATCAATTTCGATCGTAAAAACAGAATCAACTAACTATTCGATTTTAATTATTTTTTTTTTGGGAGGCAGTGGGTGAACGATGCTGGAGGTGCCGATAATCTCGGTGGCAGACTTTTGAAACAGCAAAAGGATGGAAAACTTCCAGTGTTTACTCCTCCAACGGTATCGTATTGAATTAAATTTAGAAATTAATTAATTTAGCTATTATTTTTTTGTAAATTTCTTGTTATTGTATATAATCTGCTAATTGTAGCTCGTGTTTTACGTGTAACGACAGCAAACTGTGGATGCTTTACTTGAAGCCGGATACGATCTAATCAGAGAGCAAAACCTGATCATGGAAAATAAGCTTTCCAAGGAATACATGAAAAACATGGAGGATTAATTAGTAAGTTTCATTTGACCTTTCACACGCGCGCGCACAATACGATATTTCACGGAAAGAAAAAAAACCGAAAATTATATTTTATTTGAAGTTTTAAATTTTTTTTTTCACGGGTGGGGCCTCGGGTTTAGACAAAATCATCCCGAAAAAGAATATCAAAAGGCACTATAATGTTAGATGTGATTTTCATGTCTTTGTAGGTGTTGATTATTGATGCATTTGGTGGAGTAATGCCATTCACAAAATCTATAAGAGGATAATTAAATTGGATTTTGGTAGTTTACTTGTCTTTATGCAGACATCTGATATTCAAACCATGTGGGTCCCAATTCCCATACATTGTGGTTCAAATTTCATTTAATTTCTTCATGTAATAAGTATCTATACGGTAGGAGCGTGTGCGGGTCATAAACTCGCGAGCTCTAGTAAATTCTACCGTCGTCTCGTCAAACAATGGTTCTTGGTTTGAAGGAATCAAATTTGTGAGTTTTTAACATGTTTATGATGGGCGTAATTATTTTTTTTACGAGTCCTTTACGGGTCGAACCCCTTATTGTTTAAATATTCTTTTTTCTTATAATACAAAAGTTTTACGCAAAATTATTTAAAAATTAAAATGAACAATCAAGTGTAAAATCTTAAATTAAAAACAATATTAATAATACCAATGATAAATGTCAAGAGTAAATTAAAATTGATTCAAGTTTTTACTATAAATTCATTAAAAATAGTTTAAAATAAAATAGATAAATATAAACAGAACAAAACGAAACGGCCTCGTCGTTATAGATATAAATTTTGCCATACAAGAGATGCTTTATGTATGTATTATATATATCATTAATTTATTCATAAGCCATAACATTCATTTATTAGGTGTTGTTTCAATTATTACGATAGTTGGTATCTGATTTTAATTGTTACATGTTATTAATTCACTATTGTTAGATCCAAAATTTAATTGGAAATCTTAATTTTACTGAAAATATCAATTGTAAATCATAAATTAAAACCTCCCTTTATGCATCATCATACGGGCAACTTTTTTGAATGTTAATAACAGATGGAGGTTTTTTTTAGTAATTTTAAATAACATTTTTTTCTTTTTACAATTCACTCCATTTAATTAATGCTATATGAAACAATGTATAATTAGATGATAATGACATTACAATAAAAGAAAATAAAAAAGAGAGAAATATAGAAGAAAGTCATTTTCTTCTTGAATTAAACACTTCACCTAACTTTTTGTCTTGTCACAATTTAGCACTTCGTGCAACCTTCCATCTACAGTAATCTGTTTTTTAACATGAAATTGGCAAGTTGGATATGACGGAAAAGTACCAAAATACCCTTAAATTTTCACAAGAAAATATCCTTCAATTTAAATTTCAGAGGTCCACTTTTCAGACTGAATAAAGTTAAATTAATATTTTACTAAATTAATAAAATTTGATTGGGGACTGTATTAATTTATCGAGATTTAACTGTTTATTATATTCTTGAAGAATAATTCACCATCTCTCGTAGTCATGAGTCAAGAATAATGTCTTGTCACACAAATCTTCTAAAATTCAATAAAATTGAAAAATATTTTGTAATCATGGTTCATACAATCGATAATTATATGATCATATATTTAGTGGGACTTAAGTTCAATATAAGAATAATACCTAATAATAACTTTGTCTTAGAAAAAATATGTGTTGTCAAAAAGAAAATGAGATTATATAGAAATTAGATGTCACTAATGAATAATGATCAACCCTACTCATGATTAGTAATGACACTTGGCACTAAAATGTGTACGAATTTAGGGATGAAAATTAGAATGAAATCTTTAAATTCTGCAATTTTGATTTGATTTACTTTTTATTTGAAACAATATTTTAATTTCGAATTTTTGTAATTCCAGTTTGCAGTTACATATCAAATTGGAATTGGAACATATATAAGACTGCATTTACTTATTTATCGATATTATTATGTATTTCATATTACACGTGAATACAAAAGTGAAACTTTCGACTTCTGTCCATTCTGATTCGAAGAATATTCGATTTTAAAACAACTTTAAATATCCGATGTTTCCCGATCCCGTTGTAATTATGATTTGTCACAAAAAAAAATATTATCAAGCACCAAAATTTTAATACAACAAAATTAATCTCGATAAGTTAATAACCTTGCTTGAACAATAATTTCTCTCAGTCCCGATTTATTCCCTCCGTTCCTAAATAAGTGTCTCTTCTCACTTTTCACAAAGATTAAGAAACTCAATAAATATATTTTGATTTTAGAAAAATTATATAAAAATGCAAAAACAACCTTTATTATTTAATGATTATAAGAGAAAATATATAGATTTTCATTAATAAGGTTAAACAGGAAAAATATATTTAATGCAGTATTGGAAATCTAAAGTGACAGATAATATGGAACAAAAATATTTTTAAAAAGAGACAGTTATTGTGGAACAGATGAAGTAGTATACATGTATTGAATTCGGTAAGCACGTGAGTAATTAATATGACAAAATTTGATGAAACAATTCAATTATTGAAGAATTGAACCCCACTTCAAAAAAGACTTCATTTGGCTCGACCAATATTCGTAGATATTCAGTTTTTTCAACTATATATTATGAGTACGAATTTGATTGGACAGAGTAACCACTATGCAATAATGATAATATTTGCCCCGTTATTTAAAAATCGTTTACTTTATATTCTAGGTTTCAAATTTGGGGTCCTCAATAGTTAAATATATTTATTATTTAAATGAGTTTATTTAGTATGTGTAATTAAGTTAAAATGTCGAAATTGGTTAATCTCTTATAACATATTTCGACTATTTCACATTTCATCTGTTTCAAATGACGTGAACCATGCACTGTTCAGAGACGCATCCTAACTAATAAAAATGCGATCATATTTATTTTTGAAAAAATGACATGTGAGGAACTTTAAACAAAACTATTTATTATATGCATTCGATGATTAAAAATCACGAAAAAGTATTTTTTTTCTTTTTTTCAATAAAAGGGTTTTCATCAAAATCACAAATTTACGACGAATATTATAACGGGTCCGATTTGAATAGATGATGCGATTGATTAATAATAGAGTGAAATTGTAATACCATAGCTATTACTCTACTAGTTAGTTTTTATTTGGAAATAATATAAAAATAATGAGAAATATTATTTAAAAGGAAAGAGACATAAAATGCATAGGATAAAAGTAGAAATATTGGTTAAAGAAAAAAGACAATGTTAACTTTAGGAATTTGTAGTATTTTTCAACAATCATATTTGTAGGTCCATATTTTGATTGAGTTGAGGTGCCCTATTTCCTTGCCGACACACGACCCATGTTTTAATTTGAAAAAACAAGCGTTGACTTTTTATGCATCTTAATTATTTTGGGCAATTTGCAAAACACATTCCAACAATAAGGTGGTGTTTGCAAATATTTATTTAAAAATAAAAGTTAATAACTGTGAGTTAAGTTGATTTTAAGTGATTATTTCTAATTGTTGGAATTTTTTGCAAATATTCTGGAAAATGATAACTTAAAGCAACTTACTTTAAAAAAAAAAAAAGTAATTTTAAAAACACTTAAAAACAAATTATGAGCAAAAAAAAAGTCCATAGTTACTTTCAAAAAGCTTTTACAAACACCACCTAACACATTTTTAAATCGGATCAATGAGATTTTGGTATTTTGCTAGAAGTCCTCTATTCACGTTTTTCTTTTTTTACTGCTCCAATTATCTTTGTTGCAGCTCTTGGGATCTGCTTTGCTCTCGTTTTCTGCCATATGTCATCATCAAAACTCTTCCATACATAGTTGAGTAAACTGCAAAAAGTACCCATGTGTAATCTCTAAATAGCGAAAACCCCCCTATGATAAATAAACTAGCAAAAACCCCCATGTGAAATTATTTAAATAGCACACTCGGCTCATTTACCATTTGAGTGTTCACTTCATATAAAAAGACACAAATACCCTCGGAATTTTGCAATTAATAAATTCTTATATTTTTTAAATATTTTAATTATTTTATTTTTGCTATATCTTAATTATAAATGTACAATGGGGTCTTTAATTTATTTTTATTTTTATTATCACATAATTTTTGTATATATTTTAAATTATTGCTACATCAAAAGAAAATTTAAATTCCGTTATTATGTATTTAAAAAAATCTATACTTAATTTGATTAACAAATTCTTAATGATTTTTAAATTTTATTATTTACTAGTTTTTAACAATATTTTAATTTCTAAACAATCAAATTAAAATAAAAATATATATACATATAATATATATTCATATAAATATATTTTTAGGGTCAATTTCGTCATTTCACGTCCAAAACCTACTACCAGTCGCGCAACTCGCGAGTGAGCCACACTTAAGTCAACCGGGGGGGTTTTGCCTTGACTAAATTTCACAGGGAGGTTTTTTTGTTAGTTTATTTATCACAGGGGGGTTTTTGCTATTTGGAAATTACACAGGGGTACTTTTTGCAGTTTACTCATACATAGTTAGACACACAGGCACACACATATGTCTCTCACACACACACACACCATATGCACACGCACAGTCACACACATGCATATAATCGTGTTCTCACACAATACTCATTTGAAAGATCAGATCTACGCATTTTGTTAGTCCACTTTGTTTAGATACACGATTTGGAAGAAAGATGATTACAACTATATAAGTATTCCTTTGGTAGATGACCGCCGAGTATAATTAATTAAGTTTTGTAATTAAATTCTCACTAAACTATGTAACCAAGTTCTATGTATAATACTTGGTCTAAACTCTCAAATATAACTTTTAGCAAACAGCAAAAATTTGTGTGTCATTTTTACTATAAATTTTTTTATAAGGGAGGAGGAGCTAATTAATGAAGTAATTAAGCCACCGTCACCTCCCATAATTAAAAGAAAAATCGTTGATTATTGCTGAATATTTTGTGTCTAAATCCACTTGTCTTCACTATTAATTTTCTTTTCCACCAAAGTCAAAATTCTTTCGAATTGAAATCTCAACAGATTGTATTTAAATAAAGTATACATATATATATATAATTTTATTTTATTTTGAATTTAAAAAATATACAAAAAATTCGAATAATCCCAAGAAGAAAGACCGGTCTCAACACGGATTACGTGTCTCGGAAACCAATTTAATTTCATTAAATATCCCAAAAAAAAAAAAAAAAAAAGAAAAAGAAAAAAAAAAATCCCACCGCACAGTGTCACGTGTCGGTGAAAACATAAAGAAATGTTTACATGTGTGCGCAACCTCCAAAAAGTATTACGTCTTTATTATTATTTAGTGCCAAAACAAAAGCCAAAGAATTTCTTCACAAGACTCTCTCTCTCTCTCTCTCTCTTCTCTCTCTCTAACTAACAAGTGTGTGTGTGTTTGTGTATATGTACAGACTACTACTACTACAGTTGTTTTTGGGATAGAATTTGAAAGGGGGTGGAGAGAGTACTAGAGAGTTGTTGTGGGGCGGCGGGTTAGGTGGTGGCGGTGGTGGTGAGTCGACTCGGCGGCGGAGGAAGGTGATGGAGTGGTGGCACAGAGTGGTTTTCCCTGTTCGGAGAGTTTGGTGCTCTGTTTCTGCTCGTGTCAAGTCTCGCAAAAACGGTTAGCCCTAAATTAATTGGGATTTTTTTTGTTTATTCGCAATAATTTATATATTGATTATGTTACTCTATAATGATTTCTTGATTCATCAATTTATAACTTATGAATAGGGCAACACCTTATTTATTTTATTTATGCACTAGCGGAGTCAGGATTTTAAGTCCGGGTCGAATGCGTTAAAAGAATCCGAGGGGTTGTTAATGCTATTATACACGAATTTTTTTATATAATTCCTATAAAATAATATAGGAATTTGAGAAATTTTGGGGGACAAGGCCCCCTTGACCCTATGGGTCCACCAACATTAATGTTGGTGGTGGTGTGTAGATGAATGCTTATAATTACATTCCATGTACACCTTGGTGATAGGGTTGCCAATGAATCGAGTTTTGAGCCGAATGTATGGTTGTTCAAACTTGTTTCATTTTTTTTCTTATCGAGTTTTAAAAGTTAAGTGTTTGAGCTTGGTTTGATAGTTAAATCGAGAACGAGCTTTAATCAAGCATAACATGAATTGAATTGCTTGAATAGTTCGGCTTTTCATACATTTTTTCTTCTAATCGAGCTCGAGTCGGGTCGAGTTTTAGAGCTTATTGGACGAAAAGTCAGTTTTTTATCTAGTGTAACACAAGTTTTCGGTTTTAATAATCGACAAGTCGAAAATGACACTTGTTAGATATATATTCAAGAGGCACTAATATAATGATGGGTTTGGCAAAGAGTCATTTTTCTTATTAAAAAAAAATATTGGTTGATAGTAAATTATATATAAAGAATCCACTTATGATTTATGATTGATCAAATCCACTAGGTAAATTCCACCACAAGACATTAAAATATTAGATATTGGAGATCTTAGTGTGACAAGACATCATCAATTTAATAACATAAATTTGCTAGCTTCCAAAAAATGACATCACTAATGTAATAAGCCTAATCATTCACTTATTAATTACTTAATTAATGTTTAATAGGGTAAATTACAACCGTCCCTGTGTAGGGTCTACTTACAGAAAAAAAACCCTCATTTTTTCATAATTACGTTCCACAACTGTCATTTGTAGATTTTTACATTAACACCTTTGTAGGGGGGTGGATATGAGAAATTTACAAACTGGAGGGGGCTAGATGTAATTTCTAAAAAGATGAGGGATTTTTTTTCATAATAGTCTTTACCTTAGGGATGTGGTTGTAATTTACCCTTAATGTAACTACTTCAAAGACGAGATATTTCAAATAAAATAGTGTTGATGCGAATGAATGGATGGATGGTTATATTCTAACAATTTAATTTTCTTGTTTATTTTTTGTTTAATAATTAGGTGCGGGGCTTCTGAAACTACACGATGATGTGCAAACATGCGAGTACGAGGATGTTCAGATAATGTGGGAGATGTTGAGGAGGACTGAATCGGAAATAATCTCGCAGAACGCCAAGCGGAAGAATCGCTGGTTCTCGAGAAATTTCGCGTGGTCCAATCACGGCACGATAGCTCAGCAAGAAGCATCGTCGTCAGTTCCCGGTTTGGTTATATAGTCTTCTTATGTGGTAGAAATGACAATGGTTCTTAAAATGTGCCATTATGTGTACATTATAAGCAAACTATATATATAATATATCTATATATATATGTTATGTATGTATGTACTTGTCCTTTTCAGTTTCTGCTCTGTAAAATGACTGCACAAAAGTCATTTCTTGTACATATTCACTTTGTTTTGCAAGGGAGTTTTTACAGTGGAAAAGAACCTTTGACTGGGCTGATTTCACTTGCTTTGACTTTTGACCATCTGTTTGTATTTTGTTTAGATGAATTTTTCCACACCTAAAAGAAAATGGGAAAATTACAGTTTTAGTCCCTCAAGTTTTCAGTGATTCAATATTCGGTCCCCAATGTTTACAGGTCTTTTATGTTTCAATAGTTCAACACTTGTGGTCATTTCCGTCAACTTACCGTTAGTCCGTCCGTTAAGGCAGTGAAGGGCACACGATTGATTATGTTAGTACTAACGAGTTAAGGCAGTGAAGGGCACACGATTAATTATGTTAGTACTAACGAAAAATTGACGAAAATGACCTAAGTATTGAATTTTTTAAACATGAGGACCAAATATGAAATCGGTACAAGTTTGAGGGACGAAAACTGTATTTCCCCCCAAAAAAATGTACTCGATAATTGCTGAATCGAAAATATTTGAAAATTATTTTTCTACTTAGAGATTAGTCCTAGACTATTTTGACAACTATCTTGTTGCAAGTTAGCTTCATAATTTGTATTTGTAAGTATGTATTTCTGTCCTATTTGAGGTTGAAAAATAACCTTAGTTTGTTAGAAATATTCAATTCTTGAATCCTAACCATACAAATTAATAAACAAAAAAAACCATAACTTCACAAGCCAGCCTCTTCATTAGCAAACATTCCGGCTATTTGTCTGCTTACATAAATTAAAAATTAAAAAAATTAAAAATTAAAAATTAAAAAACAAAAAAACAATACCCCTATAATTTCCCAAGCCACACATAACTAACTGGACATAAATAACAGCTTTACACACTACCATGGCCGATAACAACAACGAAGAAGAAGAAGACGAAAACAACAAGATCAAATCCAACCGAAAAGAACTCGGGCTATCATGCATGCTCAACACCGAGGTCGGGGCGTTACTCGCCGTCATCCGCCGCTCGCCGGAATCAAACTACCACCACCACCACCACCCTGACGACGCATGCGACCCCACCATTATCCAATCCCTCAAATCCCTTCGGGCGCTCCTATTCAACCCCAACCAACCATGGCGCTCCGTCGACCCCTCCCTTTACCTCTCCCCGTTCCTCGACGTCATCCAGAGCGACGACATTCCGTCCGTCGCCACCGCTGTCACCCTCCAATCCATCCTCAAAATCCTCCGCCTCGGCATTTTCGACACCAAAACACCTGGCGCCAAAGACGTCATCAACTCCGCCGTCACCGCCATAACCGGCTGCCGCCTCGAGAAAACCAACCCCATTACCGAGGATGCCGTTATGATGAGGATTTTACAGGTTTTTTTTTTTTTTTTTTTTTTTTTATATATATTATATATGTTGGCTGTATAAATGACCTAATACCGCAGGTTCTGACGGCGATCATGCGGCACGAGGCCTCGATTCTCCTCACCGACAACTCCGTGTGCACGGTGGTGAACACGTGCTTTCAGGTGGTGCAGCAGTCGGCCGGGCGGGGCGATCTCCTCCAGCGGAACGCGAGGCACACGATGCACGAGCTTATACAGATGATATACTCGAGGTTGCCCGATATCGAGGTGAAGGATTGGGAGAACTCCGAATCCGACACCGAGGACAATAACCTCGACTCGCGATACGGCATCCGATCTGCCGTCGACATCTTCCATTTCCTCTGCTCTTTGCTCAACGTGGTCGATATAATGGAGACCGACGGGTTGACTTTCCAAATCGCCGACGAGAACACGCAGGTCTTCGCGTTGTACCTCATCAACTCGGCTATAGAGTTGAGTGGAGACAGCATCGGGAAACATCCGAAGCTCCTTCGCATGATCCAAGACGATTTGTTCCATCATTTAATCCATTACGGAGCGTCTTCGAGTCCACTCGTTTTATCCATGATCTCAAGCACAGTTCTCAACATATACCACTTCCTTCGAGGGTAAACGATTTCTTTTTCGTTTTTTTTTATTCACGAAAAATCATTACCATAACATTTTCCGATCACAACCAGGTCGATTCGTCTCCAGCTCGAATCGTTCTTCTCATTCGTGCTATTTAGAGTAGCGGGCCCCACGAGCCCCCTCCAGCTCCAAGAAGTCGCGGTTGAGGGCGTCATCAGTTTCTGCAGGCAACCGTCTTTCATCATCGAAGTCTATGTCAACTACGACTGCGACCCCACCTTCCGGAACGTCTTCGAGGAAATGGGCAAGCTCCTATGCAAGTACGCATTCCCCACGGGGGGCCTACTAACGAGCATCCAAGTCCAAGCCTTCGAGGGCCTATCCGTAATTTTCCACTACATTGCTGACAACATCGACAAAGAAGACGACCCGAGCCCGTCCGGCCCGTACCCGGTCGAGATATCCGGGTACCGACCCTTTTGGGAGGAAAAGACAAAAAAGGACAACGACGTCAATAACGACAATTGGGTCGATTACGTGAGGGTGAGAAAAGTCCAAAAGAGAAAGATTTTAATTGCGGGGAGCCATTTTAATCGGGACGATAAGAAGGGACTGGAGTATCTGAAATACTCTCAGTTGATATCGGACCCACCGGACCCTAAAGCATACGCCGTTTTCTTTCGATACACTCCGAAATTAGACAAAACGATGATCGGAGATTATTTAGGCGATCCAGAAGAATTTCACATGCGAGTGTTAAAAGAATTCACCGACACGTTCGAGTTTTCCGGTATGGTGCTCGACACTGGTTTAAGAACATACCTCGAGACTTTCCGACTGCCCGGGGAGTCGCAAAAGATCCAGAGGATTCTAGAAGCTTTCTCAGAGAGATTCTACGACCAGCAGTCGTCGGAAATCTTCGTCAGCAAGGACTCGGTAATGATCCTCTGCTACTCAATAATCATGCTTAACACGGACCAGCACAACCCGCAGGTGAAGAAGAAGATGACCGAAGAGGACTTCATCAGAAACAACCGCTCGATCAACGGAGGGAGCGATCTGCCACGCGAGTACCTATCGGAGCTCTTCCACTCCATTTCGGGCAACGCGATAAGCCTGTCTGACCAGCCCGGAAAGATAATCGAAATGAGCCCGAATAGATGGATACAGCTGATAAACCGGGCCAAGATCATCCAACCGTTCATCATGTGCAATTTCGACCGTAGATTGGGTAGGGATATGTTTGCCTGCATCGCCGGACCGGCGGTGGCAACTGTGGCGGCAGTTTTCGAACAATCCGACGATGAGGATATGCTACATGAATGCATCGAGGCGTTGTTTTCGATAGCTAGGATAGCACAATACGGGCTCGAAGATATACTAGACGAACTCCTCTGCTCGTTCTGCAAATTCACGACATTGTTAAACCCTTACGCATCTGCAGATGAAACGTTGTACGCTTTCAGCCACGATATGAAGCCAAAGATGGCGATTTTAGCTGTTTTCACTATTGCAAATACTTTCAAAGACTCAATTAGAGGGGGGTGGAGGACAATAATCGAGTGTTTATTAAAGCTCAAGAGGCTGAAGTTGCTTCCACAGTCGATTATCGTCGAGACAGAAAACTCGCCTTCAGACACACCGGTCGAGAAACCAAGTCAAGATCCGAAATTCGGAAACAAACGGCATAGTTCCGGAATTATGGCGAGGTTTCTAAATTTCATGTCGATGGAGAGCGTCGAAGAAGCGTTAAACCTCGGAATGGGCGAATTCGAACAGAACATGACCGTCATCCAACAGTGCCGTATCGGAAGCATCTTCACAACGAGTTCGACCCTACCGGAAGATTCTCTTTTGAACCTCGGCCGCTGCATCATATTTGCTGCCGCCGGAAAAGGGCAGAAGTTCAGCACCCCGGTGGAGGAGGAGGAGACAGTCGGATTCTGCTGGGAGCTGATTGGCTCCATAGCTGTGGCAAATACGCACAGATTCTCTTCGTTTTGGCCTTATTACAACGATTACTTGCTTGAAGTGGCGCAGTTTCCGCTCTTTTCGCCTATACCTTTCGCCGAAAAGGCCATTGTTTCTTTGATGAAGACGTGCCTCAAGATTCTTGCTTTGGATAAAATGGAAGGTGCCGAAGAACTCATATTCAAGTCAATAAATCTGATGTGGCGAATGGAGAAGGAGATTCTAGAAACATGCTGCGAGTTTCTATTACAGTCGGCTAGCACAATCGTTACCGAACATCCTCAAAAACTGCAAACGCAACTAGGATGGATGTCGGTTTTACACCTGCTGTCTGCTACGGGCCGACACCCAGAAACCTACGACCAAGGAGTTGAGGCTTTGATCACACTCATGTCCGACAAAACCCACATCACGAAAACAAACTATTCGCATTGCATCGACTGCGCGTTCGCATTCGTAGCCCTGAGAAATAGCCGAGTCGAAAAAAACATCAAGATCATGGATTTATTAGCTGAGTCAGCGAGTTTATTGGTCGAGTGGTATAGAACCGGATATTCCGATCCGGGTAGCTGTTCGAGCATCGCAAGCAATGCTAGTCTTTCTTCTTCGGTTGAAGATACGAGGAATCAGAATCCGATCAGTTTATTTCAGAGGCTCGGAGAATCTCTAAAGAAGACGAGTTTAGCAAGACGAGAGGAAGTGAGGAACCATGCGGTGATTTCTCTTCAGAGGAGCTTCTTATTGGCAGAGGAGCTTCTTTTTACGCCGACGAATTGCATAAACTCGTTTTATAATATTATATTCGCGATGGTGGACGACCTGCACGAGAAGATGCTGCAGTACTCGAGGAGAGAGAATGCGGAGAGAGAAACGAGGAGCATGGAAGGTACCTTGAAGGTGTCGATGGAGGTTTTGACAGAAGTGTACTTGCACTTTTTGAGGCCGATTTCAGAATCTCCGAATTTCCGGACTTTTTGGTTAGGGTTGCTTAGGAGGATGGACACGTGCATGAAGGCTGAGTTGGGGGTTTACGGAGATTCGAATGTGCCGGAGATTGTTCCGAACCTTTTGAGAAGGATTGTCACGAGTATGAAGGAGAAGGGTATACTTTCGCATGCGGGTGAAGATGATTTGTGGGATACGACGTTTTATCAGATACAGTGGATTGCTCCTGCTCTTACTGATGAGTTGTTTTCCGAGGGGCTGAAAACCTTTCTTTAGAGTTATTTTTTTTTTTTTATATTTTATATATATAGATATATTCTTGTTCGTCTTGCGAGAATGTTTCAGGGCATATCCTGCATCAGAGAAACGATTGTGAAAAAATAACGACGAAAATCTGTAAGCAGCAGAAGTTAAATTATCGACAGTTGACTGCTTCGATTCTCGACCATTGAAGGATCGAACGGTTCTCATTCATTGTAATTTCAATATATAAATTGGCAGCACAGTATTAAAATGAACGACATAAAACCACGTAAAAAATGTAGATTATATATATATATATATATATATCCAGAAAATCTGATAACTAGAGACCACAACGGAAATTGCAGCGACCGATAATGAAAAAGGACAAAAAAAAAGAGACAGTACCATCATTAATCATGAGTTCATTACAAGAAGATTAATGTTTATCAACGAGGACGACGGAAACAAGATAAAAGCATGTCGAATTACGAGAATTTTCATGTTCAAAAAAGAATATCTTTCACGGATTTCTTTAAGTTTGTGGCTTATAATTTTCAGTTCTTACTGAATACCTGGTGTTAAGTGACTGCATAACTGATACATGTATTCTTTTTTTTCCTTATCTTAAAATAATGGCATTATATTATCATGGACATCGGACGATGTAATCCTAACCAACTCCCTTTTATTTATTTATTTTTCCTTTTTTCTAGGTAGCATACTTAAAAAATCCCGATCAACATTCCCAGGCGAGGCCATAAAGTGAAAGAAATGAAGTTCAACACTAACATAATAACTACATAACTAGAACTAAATAAGCACATTGGAAAAGACAACAGCAGCAAAAAAGAAAACGAAAAAAAAAAAGAAGAAAAACAATAAGCACATGCACAAAAAAATAACTTACACAAACGCAGTTTGTCCCGGCATGCCGAACGGCCTAATTTTGCACAGCAAGTTAGAGAAATGAGCTGTGCACCAAATATTTCTACATAGAGAAAATCAGCACTGCGATTTTTTCCTGAAAACGGAATACAAGATAAACGAAAAAAAGTAAGAGTCGTGTATGTCACTGTGGCTGTAAAACAAACAAAGAAACCTTTTTTTTTTTTTTTTTTTACATAAGATGATTGATTCAGAAGTGTATACTCGTTCTTTTCGGAAAGCTCCGAGACGTGTTCTGATACTAATGAAATTTGCAAAATAAAAAGTAATAATTACATAAATAGGAGAAAAGGTCTATGAAATAACCTGTGATCTTTCACCAGTGTAGTCTGAACACTTAATTCCTCAGCATATAGTATCGGAAAGCAATATAACCTGCAAGATGTGTAGAACTACAGAGAATCCGGATTTTTCGTTGGAAGTTATTTCCATATCATTGATGAAATGGCATAAAGTTTTTTTAATATACTAGATGAAGTATAGTTATTCCTTTTCTTGGCAAACATTTCAAATAACCACCAGGCTGCACGATACTACATCGGCAAGATAAACGAAAACACACCCGAAGCAAGAACTTATATGATGTAAGAAAAAAAAATGAAACTAAAACCAAGTGTGCAGTTGGTCAAATCGTGTTGTTAAATTTAGAAATTTCAACAAATCTTGATTAACGAAGTTACATACATACGACTACTGCAACACGCATCCCACCCTTTCTTTCTAAATAACTGAACTACACAAATTATTTCCTGCAAAACTGTTCTAGAATTTCTCATTGGCTATAAATTACAGGAAAAAAGAAAGAAAAAGAAAAGGATTAAAAAAAAAATTATAAGAGGAGATAATGCTAATCATACAACACTGCAGCCTAACTTGGGCATATTCTTCTCATCCAGATGATTGCTTGATAATCGATAATTCCAGTTAAAAGAAAAGCCCGATAGCAGAATGGCATAAAGATGCCCTGCTTTGTTCCCTGTTCGTAATACACAGAGAACAATGAATGCCACACCCTGGCCCACAAAGCAGGCCTTTCGATCCAGTACTAACTTGTAAAACAGGGAATTTCGTAATCCGTGTTATTCTTCAAATGCATGTGTACATATTTTCTCTAACAACAAAGGCCAATCTTCACCGAGCTGCTGTGGATTCATCTCCATAGCAACTCTAAAGTCCTGCAAGGAAATCGCTCGGTTGACTTTTTGTTCTCGCACTTCCGAATTCTGAATTTGGTAATGATGACCTGGTTTCACACCGTTTATCAGTTTTGTACGAGGGTTTTGCTCGTGGGCGTTGTTCTTTGCTCCCACGAGTCCAATGCAAGACCTAATTAACCCTTTCAAGTAAGAATCTAAACCATGGTTAAGTATATTCGCACAGTCAGCCGATACCCCCTCAAGCCCCTGTTTAACAGCAATCTGCTCAATTTGTTCCCTTAATGTACCACTATCCAACAATGCATCCTCGCGTACAAACTTGCCGCTACTCGCCGGAGCCAAACCTCTGCGGGCCCCACCGATACTGATGTGGCCAAACGGAACCCCGAGAGGGGCCACGAGCGGGCTCCTGGCAGAAGCCGTTTTTTCCACGTCATTTCTAACTACCGACTCAGTCTGGTCCTTGCTATGTACAGGAGCTAAACCATCTGGCAATCTCTTCACTACTGTAGATTCTTGATTACTTGATTGAAAATTCCCGTTTTCCAAAACAACATGAGAACCACTCGATTGAGTACCGATCTTCGTGTAAGGTGCAAGAGCACTGAGGCGGTCCCCACTTTTTCTATCACGAGAGCCTGTTCTAGCCTTACGGGGCGAGACAGGTAGTACCATGTGGGACCCGTTCTGGTGGTCTGAGGTCTCCTTGCTTCCGACATGTGTAACGTGTTTCAAAACATCGTCCTTGTGACTTGCTATTGGCGGTGGGGTTTTTGCACTACATGCATTTTTCAGTATCGAACGAATGAACTGATTGTGGAGCGGGATATTTTCCCGCCCGAGTATTCTCAGACAGAGCTTGTTGAACTCGACTTTATTCAGCTTTAAATTCAAGAATCCGTGCAAGTAATACAAGTACTGCTTTGAACCCTCTGGCCCTAGTTTCTTCATTATCTGTGCTTTCAGCTCGTCAAGATTGATTCGCGGATGCTGATGAGGTGGTTGCATCTCTCTGTATCTATCTATATATATCTCTCTCTCTCTCTATCACTCTCACTCTATCTCTCCTTCCACACTAAATATACATGTAAACAGAAAGAAATACACGATGCACAACAATGCCCCGGAACCTTAAACTAAATTAGGGTTGTTTCGCTCCATTTCCGAAAGCTCGTTTTCCAAATAACATTTAGCCTGTCCAGTAACAACCCTAACACCGCCGAACGAAAACCCATCTCAACGGGCTGATGAACTATTACCCACTACAACAATCGGAAGGAATAAAAGTTCACACCATGAGATCTCGATTTCACAATCAAACCAAACTCTCCCTCCAAAACCCAAATTCCAAGAAAAAAATTCAAATTCCTCCACTGCCAATCGCAAATTCACTACAATCCAAACAAGCCCTTTTATTGACCTAAATCCCAAAAATTCAAATTAAAGAATACTTTCCCTGCTCGCCCACTCTCAAGTAAACCGCCACAATTTATCGGTAACCTGAAAAATCAATCCCTATCACATCAACAAAAGATTCAAGCTTGAATTCACAACTTCAAACTCAAATACTTCTACACTCAAAAAATTCAAACTCGAACAAAAAATAACGAATCAGCAGAACTAAGAAATTCGAACTCGCCGGGCAAAAAAATGAGTTCACAGAAACGACAAATTACATGGGCTGACCTTATTGTAGCTCCCAGAATTTAGATTCAGTGGGGGGAATAATCAAAAATTCATCGCAAAACACACTCTCTCTCAAGCTTTATTTGTATCTATTCACTTCTCCTCAGAAGAAACCCACGCAGTTTTTCCTGCCATTGCTTCTCATCCCTTCAAATTTCGCCTCGCATTTTCGATTTTCTCCGAAGAATCAGAAAATTGAATACCCCTTTCCTTCGTTTTTTTTCTCTCTCTGATCGCTCTCCTCTTCAAACACTCCCTTTCTCTCTCTTCCCGTATTGTATCTGATTAGAAAGTAATAGTTTTGTCTAATTTTAATCTAGGGTACAACTATTAATGCATAGAGTACGATTGTATAATGTAGTACGTTGTTCTTAGATGATTGTACCTAGACTTGGCGGAGGTGTAAACAGTTGGGCATTAACAATTTCTGATTATAGGAAGGTCTCGTTTTTAGATGTCGTTGCTTAGTGTTTTTTTGTGGAGACCACGCGCCTATGGCGGCCGTGAGCGCTAGTTGCCAGAGCATCAGCTACTGAGGAGTGACGTGTCCTCGTGTTATTGGGTGAATAAACAATTTTCTCCTAAATGCGACTATTGGATTACAACGTTGAAGATATTTTATTTTGTGCTGTTTTTTTTTTCTTTTTTTTTTCATTTTTTGTTAAGAAAATGGTTTTGTCAAAATTCAAGATTCTAAAACATGAAATTTTGGGAGGGAAGAAGAAGTAGAAAATGATTCCATTATGATGCAAGTGTGGTTTGATGATTCCATTTTGGTAAGTAAATGTTGGCCTAAATGAATACATTCTACTTCTAAGTAATTTTCCGGCTGAGTACCATATTGTTCAGTGTTCAGTCCACAAATTTAATAAGGCAACGACTCAAATCGAAAATCAGCACCAAGACACAACTACTCAAACTTAGAAAATCCTAGATTTATCCCAATACTCACATTGAGTTGACTCACCAACACATTCACAGATAACAGTTAACCAGTCGAAATGACACTTTCACATCCACTAAACCTCAGGTTCAGTTTTCTTTCACTGAGAGATACAATGACTTATAGAAGAAGGACATTGAATGAAGAAAGTTCACAGACGCATATAGATAAGTTGTACATTTGTCGCTCTGTCTAAGGGTATTATAAATAGGCACATAACCAATAGTAGGAGACAACAAAGTTGCTCCCAAGTCAAAGTTAGCTATGTACGGTGGAGACTATGTAAATAGTTTCTGGAAAAAAAAAAACAAGTCGATGACGAAAGTAACGTTCAGAGAAAGAGATGGAGAAAGGATGAGAGAGAAACGGTGCTGAGATTAAGGTTGAGATGGGATAGTTAATTTAGAGCGAGTGAACGAACACAATTAAACGAACTAATCTAAACGGTCAAGTGTTGGAATTTTCATGATTTCCAATAATTAATATTGAGTAATATTAATTTAATTATGTAAAGATTAATTTCATTTATTTACTTGATCAAAATCATGAAGTAAAGTGAATGAAAATTGTCTTGATTAAATGGTTAAAGTTCAAAAGATGTGCGCTCGGTGTGATCGAGTGATAGGACTAGTTTGGGTTTAGATGTCCACAAATATTACATTTGGGGACATTTAGTAAATAGTCAAATTAATTGACCCAAAGCCTAAATAATAAAATATTTGGCCCAAACCAAATATTTAATTAATTGGCCCATGACCAATTAATTTTCCTACGCTTTTTGAACTCGTAAAAAGAAGAGACACAACATTCTGCTTTATTTTCAACCATTGCAACCGTCCATGAATGGATTTCCACCGCCTATAAATAAAGGCAGAATCTGGCCAATTCTGTACTGAATTTAAGCGGCAATTATGAGATAGTTCTTCATATTCTTCTTTCCCTTCGTCAAAGTTCCGTTCGTTGTTCAAGTTCGCCGTGGGTCGAATATTCGTGCAAATATTTGACAACCGATCGTTGTACATTGGGAGACTACCGGGAAGAGACTGTGCACCGTTGACAGCCCGGAAATATTGTCTTAAGGGAATTGCTTTGGCAAGCATCGATCGTTCTTTGTGATTTTCACAATTCCTCTCTTCGACAAACAAGTAAGTATTTTCAATTTACGGAGATTATTATTAATTATACCAACAATCTTAAGACAATAAATTTATATTTAATTTAATAACCCTGCGTAGAAAAATTATTTGGTTATGCCATGAAGAGTTTGGGTTTCTGTGTTGCAATACGCAACTGTAATAACTTGAAATCATAATTTCTATTGAAGTTAGTTTAATGGTTTTATATACTATATGCAATTAAAAAAAAAATTGCGTTTTTACTTTTCTGTGATTATTTTTTAATTAAATTATGTAATGAGTAATTGTATTTTGATGGTTCATCGTAAACTGTGTAGATGAATTCTATGTGTGAACTATTATTTAGAATATTGATGCTTACATATTTCCATCAGATCTTCTGCATGGATAACAAAAATCATTAAATAAATGTTTTGTTTGGAAACATGTGTAATGTTACTACTGTTCACATCAATTTTTTCTGAATAATGTCTTCAAGATTATGTGACAAATTATTTTGGTTTGCAAGTTTAAATTTTTTTTATATAAATCTGAAAATTGTGTAGATGGCTTCAATTAATGATGCCGCTTCTAAGGTTGTCGGCGCGGCCGAAAAACCAAACAAGTTCACGGGAATGGACTTTGCTGCTTGGAAGAACAAAATGTTCTTCTACCTTACTACCATGAATTTGGCGAAATTTCTCAATGAGGAGGCACCTAAGGCGAAGGAAGGAGAAACTCCCGAAAATAACAAGGAAGTCTTCCTAGCCATTGATGCGTGGAGTCACTCTGATTTCCTATGCCGTAACTACATCTTGAATTGCTTGGTCGAACCATTGTACAAAGTTTATAGTCCTATAAAGACTGCTAAACTTTTGTGGGATAGTTTGTCCAAGAAATACAAGTCTGAAGATGCGTTATAGGAAATTCATAGTAGACAAATTCCAATTTTATCGAATGGTCGATAGCAAAACTGTAAGTGAGCAAGTGAATGAACTCCAACTCATGATATTCTCGCCGAGGGTCATGTGGTGAGTGAATCCTATCAAGTGGCTTCCATAATTGGAAAGCTTCCACCGAGTTGGACGGAGTTCAAACACTACCTAAGGCACAAGAAATCGGTTGCCAAATGGACGATGGAGGAACTCATAGCAAGGCTCAATATTGAGGAGGATAATAAAATTACCGACAAGGGTGGTCAATTCGTGGGTAAGGCACATGTGGTGGAGAGCTCGAAGCAGAGCAACAAGCGAAAGGGTCTTACATTTAACAAAGGACCAAATTACAAGAAGAAGAGGTTCACCGGAGCGTGCTTTGTTTGTGGAAAGAATGGACACCTTGCGAAGGATTGCCGCCACCGCAAAGAAAACAATAAAAATGAAGCAAATGTCACCGTGGACTTAGCTACTTCCGAGAACGACAACATGCACCTTTCGGCAGTCGTAATAGAGGCCTACCTATTGAGCGATACTCGAGCATGGTGGGTAGACACCGGGGCAACTCGTCACATTTGCTATGACAAGAGCATGTTATCCTCCTATAAAAAGTTGGAACAAGAACAAAAGCTCTTCATGGGAAATGATGCTTATTCGGTGGTTGAAGGACAAGGACAAGTGATCCTAAAATTCACTTCCGGAAAGGAAGTTACCTTGAACGATGTGCTACACGTTCCGGATATTAGGAAGAACTTAATCAGTGGTTCTATCCTAACCAAGAAAGGTTTCAAGTTGGCTTTTGAGTCGGAAAAATTTGTGCTAACCAAAGGAGGGTTCTACGTCGGAAAAGGGTACCTATGTGACGGCCTCTTTAAGGCGAACGTAGCCGTTATCGGCAAGAACTAAGCTACTACATTTATATTAATAATTTTTAGTTTATATGGTTTATTTAAGAGTTGTAAGAACTTATTATGTTGGGAAATATCGTGTGTAAAATAAGGTTTTATTATACAAGTTTTTGACTAGTATATTTAAAAAAAAAAAAAAAATTGCCCTATGTTTTATAAGTGTGTATAAAATTTAAAATTATTAAATCATATAAATATTTTATTCTTTCTTTTGAAACAATATTGTTTCAATCCAATGACTTGGTTAAATTTGGGCATAAGTAATATTTATTTATACTTCAAATAAGCTCTCGTGAGGGGTGCTTGATTTCTCTGTTTTCAAAACTTTTGTAAGTTAGTTCTTGATTTAAACGGTGCAATATGATTCTGTCCAATCATATTGTGAGTATTTTCTCAATAAAAATTAAAGTTCTTAAAATTTTGAGTTTAATAAAAAGGTAGCAAATGCGTATTTGTGAAATACAAAATAAGAAGATAACTTCTTAAATCCGATAGAGCGGATAATATGAGTAATTTATTTGTGTGCATGGAAAAATCATTGCACCCTATTCACATCAAATGGGGTAGTTAAATGAAAAATCGTGATTTAAAGACACGATTAAACTTGAGTTTACCGAACAACTTGTGGGGGAAACTCCTTGTGTGTCTAATGACATATTAAATAGAGTTTCACACAAGATGAACATTCCTTATGAGTTATGGAAATATATATAATTGAGCTATAAATATCTCAAAATGTGGGGGTATTTGACTACAAGTTAAATATGTTTGTATATGTCCTTGGGGGATATAGCGAAGCAATATAATTAGTTATTTGATTTAAAAATAATCAATTAACAAATTGCTCTCATACTTCACTATAGTAAGTCTCGACATATTCGTTGTAGACATATAACGGGATACATTTACTCTCTAATGGAATAAATTTCCATTGATTTTGAGAAGTCCTAAGATAACCTAGCGGATCCATTTAATAAAGGTTTATTTAGCGAGAGAGTTAAATGTGCATCGAGGGGAATAAGTTTAAAGCCTAAATAACTAAGCACTTAGGAGTTTTAACTCCACCTTATTCCTATGATGCAATAAGTGCAACCTACGACGTTCAAAAAGGTTAAGCAATTGCTTTTAATGACGTCTATATCTTGTAATTTACAAGTGGGGTATAGTAGGATACTCTTTATAGATGCGGTCACCTATGTTAGTGTGAGCTGGGTCGGCTCGTTAAGAATTCTTAACGGCTGGAATTCTCTAAAGCACTCGCAGAACCCGAGGATGTTCAGGGCCAAAACGAACACAACCGAGAACTTGAACAAGTTCGTTTAGTATGGTGTTAAATTTATTGTCTTGGTTTACACAAACAGCCGACGGTTCAAGATGAAATAATTCACCGATTAGCTAAGTAAATCCGATAAGCTTTAACTAGGGAAGATTCAAGATGAAATATTTCACCTATCCCGATGTTGTACTATTCACTAAGGAATTTTGACAAATAGATCATATGCTATAAGATTGGAAGAACAATTTTATTCATGTGGGGGATTGTTGGAATTTTTATGATTTCCAATAATTAATATTGAGTAATATTAATTTAATTATGTAAAGATTAATTTCATTTATTTACTTGATCAAAATCATGAAGTAAAGTGAATGAAAATTGTCTTGATTAAATGGTTAAAGTTCAAAAGATGTGCGCTCGGTGTGATCGAGTGATAGGACTAGTTTGGGTTTAGATGTCCACAAATATTACGTTTGGGGACATTTAGTAAATAGTCAAATTAATTGACCCAAAGCCTAAATAATAAAATATTTGGCCCAAACCAAATATTTAATTAATTGGCCCATGACCAATTAATTTTCCTACGCTTTTTGAACTCGTAAAAAGAAGAGACACAACATTCTGCTTCTTCTTCAACCATTGCAACCCTCCATGAATGGATTTTCACCGCCTATAAATAAAGGCAGAATCTGGCCAATTCTGTACTGAATTTAAGCGGCAATTACGAGATAGTTCTTTATATTCTTCTTTCCCTTCGTCAAAGTTCCGCTCGTTGTTCAAGTTCGCCGTGGGTCGAATATTCGTGCAAATATTTGACAACCGATCGTTGTACCTTGGGAGACTACCGGGAAGAGACTGTGCACCGTTGACAGCCCAGAAATATTGTCTTAAGGGAATTGTTTTGGCAAGCCTCGATCGTTCTTTGTGGTTTTCACAATTCCTCTTTTCGACAAACAAGTAAGTATTTTCAATTTACGCAGATTGTTATTAATTATACCAACATCAAGATCAAGAAGATTAACTTTGTGCTAGACTTTAGTTGACTTGGACATTTCCAAAATTCGGGCCTCCGAGAATTTACCAAGTCTGGGCCCGACCCCAAAATTAATACTTGGGTTTAAAACTTTAACTCCTGCTCGATCTCATTAATTAAAAATAACAATCTTATGGTATTAAGGTGGTGTTTGCAACTGTTTTTTCAAGTGATTATGAACTTTTTAGTATTAAAAAGAAAATGACTTTGAGAAGAAAAAAAACTCATAATCACTTTGAAAAAACGTTTGCAAACACCACCTAAGTATTTTAATTCAGAATTATATAGTTGTATGGTGAATCAAGTGTTATTCAAAATTATTAGGTGTTGTATATATTTAAATACGAAAATGCACTTCAATATACATATATATATATATATATATATATATATATATATATATATACATGAATTCAACAATGTAGGTAGTGTAACACTTGTGTCCAGATTCTTGATTTTATTCATCCCCACGTTGTTCCATCTCAGGAGGGCTTACTTGTTCTTTGTTCTTCTTGAGCCACACCTTTAAAATATTCATAAAATAATTAAATAAATACTAGAGAATATTTTCTGAAATCTCCATCTTCTAATTCTTGCAAAATTGCAATGCCGTTCCAAGGTCAAACCCCCATATCTCGAATTTAATCCTCTGATTTTTTTATTTTTTATTTTTTTTAAACTGTTTTAATTGATGAATTTTAAGTTTTCTTTTTTTTTTTTTTGCAACTGATTAGACGAAGCACAGGAGCAGCTGCTAGCGGCGGCGCCGCCGCTGGATAAGTGGCACTCGGCCAGCGCGAAGATCGAGGTGAGGGATCTGACGAAGGTGTCGGACAAGGATGAAGTAATTCTGAACAAAGTCAGCGTTGACATACCGAGGGGAGCGATAATGGGCGTCATCGGGCCGAGCGGGAGCGGAAAGTCAACCTTTCTACGGGCCCTGAACCGGCTGTGGGAGCCCGCTTCCGCCACCGTGTTCCTCGACGGCGTCGACATCTGCGATATCGACGTGCTCACCCTCCGCCGCAAAGTCGGCATGCTTTTCCAGCTCCCTGTTCTCTTCCAAGGTACAAAAATGAAAAATAAAAAAATAATAATAATGAAAAAATAATATTTTTCGATTTTGAATTATGAATTATGAATTATGATCATCATTAATGGAAATCGGAACGGAATATTCAAATTTTGCATTGCGATCAGAAGGTTTCCGATTTTGGAATAATATTTTTCATCAATTTTCGAAAAACTACACTTTATGAAATCAATGCATTCATCGTGTTTCTACTTTCTACGATTCCGAATCCGTGAATTTCCGATTTTGGAACGAAGTTTTCTCGTTCCAAATTCCGTAATTCCAATTTTCAACATTTCCGGATTTTTTCGGAACCCAATTAGAATTTTTCCAAAGGTGCTACTTATGTAATGTCGGGATCCGTATTTTTCGACCCGTTTAAGCTTACAAAATTTTCGAGGCTATGCAGATTTGATGAAGTATCTACTCTGATCTATTCTTCTCTTTGGTTCATTGTTTCGAAATGAAAATTGAAAACAATTAAAAAAATTGAGGAAGATATTCGATGAATTTACGGTTACAGTTAATCCCGCAGGCACCGTTGCAGATAACGTGCGTTACGGACCCGAATTAAGTGGGAAAAAGCTAAGCGACAACGAAATATACAAATTGCTCGCTCTTGCGGATCTCGATTCTTCTTTCTACATAAAATCGGGGGCAGAATTGTCCGTCGGACAAGCTCAAAGAGTTGCTCTTGCAAGAACTTTAGCTAATGAACCCGAGGTCAATTTACAAAAAAAAAAAAAAAACTAAATAAATTAAATTTGTTATAAATTTTATTTTTTGTTTTTTATTTTGTGATTGAATGTTCGATTTTGTTTGTTATGAAGGTATTGTTACTGGACGAGCCAACGAGCGCGTTGGATCCGATATCGACTCAGAACATAGAAGATGTGCTTGTGAAGCTCAAGAATGAAATCGGTTTGACCGTTGTTATTGTTTCTCACAGCATCAAACAGATACAGAGGATTGCTGACGTGGCGTGCCTACTTGTCAACGGTGAGATCGTCGAGATTCTGCCACCTCATCACCTCTCTCTGGCTAAGCATCCCATGGCTCAAACTTTTCTTCACCTTAGTTCTTGATTTTTTTTTTCTTTTTCTTTCTGTGTGTGTGTTTTTATTTATGAAATTATTAATGTTATGTTGTTTTTGCATTTTACATTTTTGTTGTGACTTGTGCATATATATATATATATATATATATATATATATATATATATATATATATACATACACACACACCAAGAACAACATATATAAAGGAAGTGTATATATATTGTTGTTGGAAAGAAAAAAGAAAAAAAAAAAAGAAAAATCTACAAGGGCTTGAAGCCATGTCGAAGTGCAGCTTTCCAGACGACATCGATCTGATCGACATCGATCGCGCCCACCTCGTTGTGCTTCCAACCTTCTAGAAGATGAACCACCCCGCCAGCGTGGCAAGCATGCACCACTCCTCTTTCCATCGTGTACTAAAAAACAAAAATTATCGAAAAATTGTACTTTTTTATGGAATATAATATAATTGCGAGTGAAGTTCGTTATATGTTATGATATATATTATAATACCTCACACGAACCGAGTCCCTCGACATCTTCCGGAAGCTTCATTGCTGCTAGTTTCCCGTAACTGCAGTCTAGTCGGAACGGAATAATTGGCGGGACCACAAACTGGTGGAAATGTGTACCGGACGGAGCGTAGTACTGTTGCCTGGGCGTTGTCCACTTTCCGATTATCCATGTCTAGAAAAAAAAATCGTACGATTAATTAAGTTTATCGAGTCTTATTTGATAATTCGAAATCGTCCAAATACGAAATATAGCATTACATACCTTGCAATTTTTAGCTGCTTGATATTTAGTAACTTGAACCAAGTAATTTTCGAAACCTAGTGGTGCTTCTTTTTTTATCTTCAGGAATCTCTCTTCAGACGGTGTTAGCATCTACCCCAGAATAATATATACATACAGTCAAACCTCTATAAATTAATACAGTCGGGACTAGGGAAATTCCATTAATTTAGCGAATTATTAAATTATCGAGTCAGGGAAATTTGTCGAGGTTCTACTGTATATTGAGTGAGTAGTTTTTATTACCATAACTTTGACTTTTCGACGAGCAAGGTAAAGGGCGATGGCTCGACCGAGTTTAGAAGTGGCTCCGGTTAAGAAAACCTCGTCAATGTCTCGAGGAATCTCGTTTAGGATAACGGCAGCGGTTAATGTGTTACCATGGACCAATCTAACTCTAAGATTTGGATGCTTGTTCGTGAAACGGGTCCCGCCTCCGTTTAGGCCTTCGTTCTGCAAATCGTTAGTTTATTTCGAGAATTTAGTAACTATGTGATAGTTAAGTATTAGTTAGTAACACATTACATAATGAAAACGAAATAAACGGGTTACCTTGTTTAATGCGGCAAGGCTAATGACCTTAACTCCGATTCTATCGGCTTTAAGGATAGCGTCTTCGATTTGGTTGTTTATGCCTTCTGCAGCAAAAGGCAAGAAATACTGCAACCGAAAAAATAAAATAAGAAATAATGCCAGGGGTGCTGGAAATTTGAACGGAATTTTCGTTTTCAGACAATCTCGATCTGTAAATTTCCGATTTCGAAACAATTTTTTCTTTCCGGATTCTGTAATTCTCATTTTCAGTTTTTCAATTTTTCAATTTATGTTTTGATTTGGAATTGAATAACTAGATTCCGATTTCTGGTCCGATTGTATTTTCCGAAAAATAATTTCGAAAAATTTGCAAATTACACTTAGAATATCAAAATTTTCATGTATTTTATATTTTAGGTTATTAAAAATCGGAAATTTTCCGAATCCCGCCGATTTCGATGCAAAAGATTCCGATTTTGGAGGCAATTTTACATACCAATTCCCTAAATTCCGATTTTTTTGAAGCATAATTGAAATCAGCTTCCAACTTCCGAAAAAAAAAACAGTTTTTTTCCGAAAGTGCTAATTCCAATGCGATTGTCCGTTTTCCATCCCTACCTAATATAATGTAATAAAACCAACATCTCGAAAAAAAAGACGAAAAAAAAGAGTACCTGAAAACCGAACCTAGGCACCGCCCAAGTGTGGTGCAAACGACCTCTAAGATTATAAAAGCTGAACAAGAAAGTCTTCGATTTCGCCCACATAACCAGCATCACAACAAAAGTAAAAGGCCACATCACAATCAGAAACGGCTTTGTACTGAACGGAATCGAACTGAACGATCGGAAAACAAACGGCGCGTGCATAGCCGACATAATATCCACACCGTGCGCAAGAAACACGAAATCAGGCACTCTGCTATCTGTACCGGTTATTTAAAAAAAAAAACATAAGCATTTAAAGTAACATAAGCCCGTTTTCGTTTACGAGACAATAGGAAAAAAAAAAAGATCACTCACTTGTTCTAGTACTAATTTCTTCGTGAAGATCCCATGATTTTCCATTTAAGGTATTCCATAACTTGTCGTAAAACGGCATGAATAGGCAAAAATTCGTCCCCGTTTCCGCGTGGTGAAGACTGTGGTATCTGCAAGAACCAAACAGAACTTTAGTACAATGCAAAATACAAAAAATAAATTATGTACAATATACTCGATAAATTAATAACCTCGTTTAAATAATACTTTCTTCTGGTCACGACCACGACTCAAGGACAATGTGTTAAATTAATATTTCATGTCTGGTCTCGACTGTATTAATTTATGGAGGTTTAACTGTAAGTTGAAAATGACAATTCCTAATTTATATTAAACTTACGTCGGTGTACATACGAGATACTTGAGGAGAGGAATAGCCTGAAATAGTTGACAAGGGACAACTTCAACATTGCTGTGTTGCAAACACCTCAGAAAATCGAAGACGAAGAGGTAACCGTACATTAGGCCAATCGATCCATATCCGATTAACGCGGTTCCCAGAGTCGGAATTCCTATGACTACACAAAGTAATATATGCTCCAAGAACGACAAATGTGCACCTGTAACATAAAAACCGAAACGTGTCTGACAAATTGTTACAAGATACAATAAGATTGATGGTTTTTTTTTTTTTTTTTTTCGATTTTTTTTCCGGTTACCTGTGAAAGGATTTACGACTTTCGAGCTATGGTGGAGAAAGTGGTAGTGTTGGAACAAAACAGGGGTGTGTAATAATCTGTGAATCCAGTAATAAAATGGCTCTGATATTCCAATGTGGAGTATTATGCAGCAAATAATACCCCTTAAATCCCATAATGGGAGATTTGCCAAGAGAGAGAAACTCATGTAAGAGAGAGAAGCCACTGTAATTTGAAGTATCAGAAAATTATCCCTGTTTTAACATATTCAAAAAATCAAGAAAATTTATAGGGGGAAACCCAAAAAAAGAAAAAAAAAAAGTAAGGGTAAATTACACCTACACCCCTGAGGTATGCTAAAATAACTTTAAGGTCCCTCTGGTATTGGTAATTACAACCACACCCCTGGAACAATTGCCAGAGCCAGGATTTCATGTCCTGGGGATGGATATGGGCTATATTTGTTTTCTGCGGGGCCGTTAGGCTACCATAGAGGAAAATTTGCAAATCTTATATAATATAACAAGGATTTAAGAAATGTTAGGAGAACCATGTCACCCCCTAGCTCTATGTTGTCTCTACCACTCTTGAAACTTGTAGTTTGTTAAAACCCTAACAGAATAACTTATCTAATGCATTATTTTGTTAAGGTTTCTAACAATGTTTTAGGGGTGATCGTAATTACCGATACTACGGGGACCTTAAAGTTATTTTAGCATACCTAAGGGGTGTAGGTGTAATTTACCAAAAAAAAGTAAGAGTAAATTACATCTACACCCCTGATGTATGTTAAAATAATTTTAAGGTCCCTCTGGTACTGATAATTATAGCCCCACCCCTGAAACAATTGTCGGGGCCAGGATTTCATGTCCTGGGGACCGATATGCACTATATTTGTTTTTCGCGGGCCGTTAATGCTACCAGAGACTTTATTTATAAATCTTATATAATAAGGATTTAAGAAATATTGGGGGAGCCATGTCACCCACTAGCTCTATGTTGTTCTCACTACTGTCTGAAACTAATAGTTCGGAAGAACATTAATGGAATAACTTATCTAACGCAGTATTCCGTCAGGATTTCTAACAATGTTTTAGAGGTGATTGTAATTACTGATACCACATGGACCTTAAAGTTATTTCGTGCAGGTGTAATTCACCGAAAAAGGCAATCATATACCAGTGCCATTCTGCGTCGATTTGATTGAATTCGACGCCCCGTTGGTCGATTCGACGAGCGCGATTAAGGAAGAGCATGTTTGTGTAAGATGACCAAAGCTGATGAACAAGTGCTCTATGGTAAAACAAGATGAGAATATGTAGGCACCAAATATTGTCATTCTTGGTGATTTCTTTTGTGTAGATTGCATGTAGGGCTTTGCAAATTAGTGGTCCATATAGCAAATACTGTTTACAAATTACCAAAAACAAATAAATAAATTAATTAATTAATCAGATTATGTATAAGCAAAAAAGAATGAAAAAAAGAGATGCATGCCTTGAAATTTTGCAAGTTGTCCCATGGCCAAGAAAACAGAGGAGCTTCTTCCCTTGTGTTTGGAGTGATGATTCTCTTATTCTTCATCTTTCTCTCTCTACTTTTCTACCATGTTCTAAAAGAATACTTTTACATATACATATATATATATATATATATATATATATATATATATATATATATATATATATGCAAAGTACAAAAGTACAACTATGTGTACAGGAAGAGAAAACGAAATTGAAAACCTTGCAATTAATTGTGAACTACTTCTTTAATGGAAGCTGTCTATGCTGTCCCTTCGCTTATCTCTCTCTCTCAAGAACCGATTGTACAGCAATAAATGGAATTCTTTTTTTAGCACAAAATTGGACTATTCATTTACTATTTGTCAGCTTCTTTGTTTTTCAACCTGCTAAAATCTGAAAATGGTAGCTTTGCAGATTACAGTTGAGATGTTCAATACTTTTGTTCTTTCATATTATATACATATGAGCAAATTACAGCAAACCCCCTAAGGTAAGTCCAAATTACGAGCACTTCCTCCTGTTTGGGAAATCACCCCTCAACTATGAGGGATTTTTTCGTAAAAAAATTACATAGTTGAGGAGGTGGCTGTAATTATTCAAATAAGAAGGGTTTTTTATAATTTAGAATTATCTCAGGGTGGCTGTATTTATCTCTATAGGGATCTTTTTTTTTCTTTGCTTGCCCCAGGCCTCAACTTCAATCAAATCTTAAGTCATATGTTTGGTCGATGTTACATCAGATGAAATACATTACGTGCAGTATATATCTATTGTTTGTCGAAAACAAAAGATTTACAGCTCGAAAAAGTGGTCACTGATATAGTGTGAGGAAACAATTAACAAACATCATAATTCATAGGCATTGATCCTTATAACTGATTTCAGCTCATTAATTTTTGGGACTCTTTCGTGCCTCAAAAAAAACTGATGAGTCTTGGATCTTTCATTATATCTAAGACACCCCACAATGTTCCAAAAGTGTGTACTACTGCTGTGACATGGCATGCAGCCACGTGTCAATTTATAGCATCAACGCTCATGTAACGTGAACATGCATTAGTACATATATGGACATTTATGAATAGTTAAGGTATGCGAAAGCGACCAAAAAAGGCGAATACATTTTAAGCATGTTTTCCATCTCTTCCGAATGACATGAACCAAACTTTTTCTTGCCATGAAACTAAAGGAAAATTCGGTGATTGATGTTGTTTGAAAAACGCGTTTCCCCCTTTTAATTTGTCAAAAAAAAACGCAGAGTTTAATATCTATACTTATCGGTCGACGTGTTCTTCGTAGTAGAACACCTCGTATACTAAATAGTGTCAACAAATCGTGAAAGCTCTACTGCAAAACAACTATGCCCTATCTTTTGATTGGTGAAAATATGCATCATTCACATGATATATAAATAGAAATGTCTAATGCAGAGTGATAAACAAAGCTCAAAATGATAGGCTGGAAGAATACTAATAAATCATAAATCATAAATCGTAAACCGTAATCGTAAATTATAATCGAATAAGCTAGTCTAGTAGTAAAACTAAACGATACAAACTTGGAAGATAATACATGACCAAGTGCATCCTGTTGGTATCTGCGCAAGTTAGCAGAGCTATATATAAACTTTACCTAGAAATGTGTCAAATTCGAGAGTTCGCCGTGTATCGATTTATATTTTTGGAGCTCTTCTTGGGTGATTAGAAGCCTACACAATAGATATCAGTCCCGTTAAAAAAAAAAAAAAAAACTATCTATATTCAGTAAGATTGCTATAACATATATTCTGCAGAAGAAAAGGGAAAAGAAATACCTGCACTGTAAATCACTTATCTCACGGAGCAACTCTTTTTCCCTTTCGTGAGCAGTCTCTAACTACAAAAGGAAAAAAAAATAACTTGGTGAACATAGAAAACATATAACTATCTGCAAGACAAAACAGTTGGCAAAAAACAAAACAATTTGCAAACAAAATCAATCAACAACCGGCACCCGTTATTCAATTAAAGTACGCATAAATGTACTAGGCTGAAAAAAATATAAAGAATGTTAGGAAGGAATTGACAAATATACTTCGTCTCTGCTTCAAACTTATATTAATAACCCAAATGCACTGATCAATTTGTTATTCACTTGTTACCAATGTGTAGATAAATACAACTTCAGACCACATACTTGGTTATAGTATATCCCTAAACTTTTGCATACCAATGATTTCTCTGCCATCTCCGTGTTTAATGTGCCCGTTGAGCCTGCAAAGAAGGATAGTTGCATTATACTGGAAGATTCTATGTATGCATATACAATATGCTATGGTGAATAGATTGATGATACCTGAAGCTTCCCCAAGAACTACTTGCTTCATTAGAAAAAGAATAGTCTCCTGCCAAGAGAGCAACGTAGAATGAAAATATCAGGACATTGACCAATTATTCAAAGACAGAAAAACAAACGACAACTTTTTTCTCAAGAAGAACCATTTACCCTTTGAAGAATATTTGTATTTAGAACAGACTGCAGAGGGTAAAACAAGCCCTGACCCGGAGAATTTGCTGGAGCAGCCTCAGAAGTCAATGGTGAAGAAATGCCAGGAAGTTGAGCCATCACCTAAATATCAAAAATCTTAATTTAAGACATATTCTAATGCACACATATATATCATTCTAATGATGTTTGATGAATACGGAAGCCATAAGTTGACTTAGTCTACACATGTTGGTGTCCAATTGGTCGAAATCATGTGTTACAAAATATAAACGCATATTCTTTCTTTGAGGATCTCATTGACAACAATAATCAAATTTTAGTAACTCTCTTATTAAAGATTCAAATTATACGGAGAAAGATCAAAAGAAATGACCAATCACAGAATCAAATTATTTTTAGTCACTTGCCAACTAGGAACAAACAGATGACATGCTTTAGTTAATTCCAAAAGAAAAAAAATTGAGATGTCTTGCATTTCCATTACACTTAAAATTTCACACCAACCTGTACACTGTGGCTTTTCTGTAGTATAGGAGCCGGAGCAGCCTATAGGAAGGAAATAATCAATGTTAAAATAAATGTTACATAAATGTGAAAAACACTACTCCAATTAAGACCTGATATTAACCTTTTCCATATCAACATTCTCTGACGTAACCTTAAATCGTCCTTTTTGCTGAACAACTGGATTCTTTGCCTTCTCGTCAACTTCTTCACCATTAACTACATTACAGATATGCAATTTTAAAGTACAGAGCAATCTTCATTGTAAGACAAAGTTCTGAATGAGATAGATGACTTGCCTAATAATTTTGAACCTTTGGAAATTATGTCCGACTGTGAGTCTATCGATTGCAGATTGGTAGGCCCGGCATGTAACAAACTCTGTGACTGATTTTGGATCTTGTCACTGAGTATTAGAAGTCATAATAAAATTTGTCAATGTAAAAGGACATGTGATATTGAGGAGAAAATTTATATGCAAGTATCGCGATAACAACTTGAGAAGCAAATTATTTATGCAACTAGATCATGCTCTGGGAAACAGAAGTATATATACTGGTGCTACTTCTAGTAAACATACAAAAAAAAACAACTTGAGAATAGAAGAGAAGAGTAAAACACAATACAAGAAATGTAAGGTCAGCATTATAGTATAGATAGAAATGAAACATACTTCTGATTATACCTTGTGGGAGCTCCCTCTGATGATTTATTCACCTCTGACGCTAAACTGCTTTCTGTCCGATTCCCATGGCCAATAGACATATTCGTGTTTGGCTGTTCTAAAGTTGAACCAGGAACACTCCCGTCGTCATTGGATTTTTCACAATTACCACTAAGAAAGAGAAGATTAATTTTTAATTAGAATATACAAGGAAATAATCAGAGCTAGATGTTATATGGAAACAACAGAAAAGGATATAGGCAACACAAAAATAGCTATACGGTATATAATACAGGATACAAATGATATTTTTACAGGAAATATAGAAGTATTGTCAATTATGATGACATACATGTTAGTTGTGGAGTTCAATGATGTGTTCAAGGGCACGGTATTATCATCCTGCGAAGACCTGGAATGTTAAAGAAAGAGAAGAACTACCTGCCCGGGAAAAAAACATTATTAACTTACGGAATCTTCAGCATCAGAATATTGGCTTGCAAAGGACAACTGGTGTTCTAGTACTTTACAACTTTTGGAAGAAGATGGCTGGTCCTGCAATTGTTTAGTTTGCATATTTTCATCTTTTTCACAAACCACATCATCATCCTGTACCTGCAAGCAAGCAAATATGTATTATCTTCTCACCATAAGAAATCTTTGGCAGCAACAAATCATCTATCGAAAGCTGAAAACAGTGAATACCAACAAAGCTTGCGCCTTCATATCTTCCAGGTTGAAGTTCCAACCACTGATCCCACGTTTATATTCGTTCTGCGAACATAAAAAGAAAGGAAACAAACAAGAAAGTCAGAAACTACGGGGATGTACCATAGGGCATCATAAAAAGAATTACATAACCATATAAGCTAAAATAATTCCAAATGAACAAATTTACTACAGTTAACGCTCCTATTCGAAGTTCCCAGAATATTTTCCCTTCCCTAATGACAATATTGCAAGTTACTGGAACATTTAACTAATGGAGAGGCCTTTTACACCTGTAACACAAATTTATTCTCGTGTCCAGGTGAAAGTACTTTTAGCAACCTCATACTCAGTAGTAGCCAATCTACTTCTAAAAGATGAGATCATTGACAAAGTTCAGACTGCAAAAGTAAAGGTAAATTTGAAGACCATGATGTGAGGTATATACAAGACTACAACAGAGGGAATGTGAGTCTTTATTACGTCTCACTATTCAAAACTGCGAAGACACAACTCTCAGATATGCGTGGGCTCTTAAGAGTATGAATACTAGTAATAACTACCTAAACTGAAGGTTCGAGCTGAAGTGTGGTGAAAATTTAAAATTAAGAGAACCAAAACCCTTCTCTGCCGCCACGAAAGATGAAATCTTATAGTCTTGTGCTGCAAGTTTCCTTCCAGTTGTAAGCCTAAATCAAATATAATTTTTTTTCCTTCCAGTTGTAAGCCCAAATCAAATATAATTTTTTTCACCCAACCGCTAATCTAACTAAAGGTAAAAGTCAAAGCGGAGATTTGAGCATATCACTCCTATGTTATTTGTTGATCTGATAGAAAATATTTCAGGGCAGTCATTTTGAATTAACATTTCAGGACGTCCTACTATTGGCTCCTCATATTTTTATGTCATTTATAAATTTCTGCCAACGCTTTTATGTACGGTTTCAGCCACAAACCAGCTCGGAGAAAAAAATCAGAGTAAGGAATTACTCACTGATAAATAAATTTTAATGGCTTTGCATAAATAGAGAAAAGTTCTATTCAACGTTCCCCTTACATAAACTAAGGAATTTATTTATAAAGCATTTCAAACGGATGACATGAAAATTGACAGGATTGATCTCCTTTACTAGATAATACCAGAAATGATTTTCTGTGGTACGGAATCAAACCTGGGATATTTCCTCTTTCTGTCCATCCGGCATTTTCTTTTGTGCAAGCATATCTTCCTCCTTTCTCTGAAGTCATGTATACTTCTATCAGGATAAAACTTAATAAAGAGAACACGTTACCCTATATTAACTCAACATATCTTTATAAGCACAGACCTTCAATGCCTGAAGACGATCACCAAGAGCTGGCAGCCCTTCAAGAAGAGTTCTAGAAATATAATCATTTGACCTAGCTTGCTTGAAAAAAGAATTCCTTAGCAATTTTTTAGCTGAAGGTCTTTTTGAAGGATCTTTCACCAAACAACTAGCAATCATCTGCTTAAAGGACTGAACACACCATATATTGACATAAATAGCTTATCGATAAAACATTAATCAGTAGCTGACAAGTACACGCTTTAAGCAAGCATACCTTCGAAAACTTTTTGTCTCTCTCATAATCAAGACCAGGTGGTGCATTTTGCAATGTCATAAGCAATACCTACAGAAGTAAACTGTATTGTATATGTCGTTGGCTTTAAACTTATTAAAATTGATTCCGTGTAGAGAAAATAAGGAATATATGTAACGGTGGAAGCACCTTCATTGGAGGGTACTTTGAAAACGGGGCGTGACCATGCGCAAGCTCCAAAGCAGTTATGCCGAAAGACCAAATGTCAGCTCTGTAAATTGCCAATCCATTATATAAGAAAATGGTTTAATATTCTGTTGTAGTAAAAAAAAATGGAGAAGTAAATGAACGGACTTGAAGTCATAACCATGCAGTTGCTCCATAACCTCCGGTGCCATCCTAGAAAACACAAACCACCTCTTATTAGAATGACAAGAAAATAAAATTGATGACATGTTTACCTGAAATTACTAACAAATAATTTTATAAAATTCAGGTTTACAAAAAATGTGTGCATTACTATCTATGATGTACGTGTACACATGCATCTATATTCAGTAAGCTTTCGCTCACACACCTCAGATAAATAGTACATTTCAACATAATGAATGATGGGAAAGAAAAAAATGGAGGTATACAGATACTCATACCAGCAAGGAGTGCCCACAAATGTATTCCTCATGCGTTGCCTATCACCTGCATCAAACAAGTAGGCAGAGACACCAAAATCCCCCAGTTTGATTCCACCACGTGTATCAATCAGAACATTCCCAGCCTGGAAGCACCCAAAAAACAGAGTAGATGCACAAATTAAGATGATAAAAGTACATATACGAGTAACGACAATCTTAAAAGATATGCCGATCCTATGCTGTGAGTATATAGCTCTGTTTATTTTAGAAGCTTGTCTGAATTGGCAGGTGACACTTGCTTAAAGTTCAAACTACTTACTTTGACATCCCGATGAATATGGCCATGTTGATGAAGATACTCCAAGCCCTTCAATACCTCACGCAAAATCGTAGCAATAACAACCTCCTCGAAACCATCTGGATGTGTAGCCTTCAAAATGTGTAGGCAAGAACCTCCAGCCATGTAAGGCATTACCACCCACAGATTGTGATCACTAACGAAGGAACAATGGGATTTGAGAACATTGGGATGGTCAACAAGTACCATCGTTTGTGCTTCCCGTGAAACGTTATTCTGGGGCAAAATTCAACAATCAGATCATCCAGTATATTATATTCATCAGATGAAGGAATAAACCAAACCAAGTTTGTTATTTAAACAAATCTTCATGCACTCCTAGCTTAAGACAAACTGCAACGTAGTTGTAGCTAAATTAACCAAATCAATTAATTACAAACTGCAGGACGTCTAGCCTAATCGAACTACAATGCTACTGAATAAACTGAAACTGCACACCACAGTTCTCATTGCAATTCACTTTCCAATGGCTATTGTTGTACACTTTTACAGCCTAGCTAGTAATCGTCACTTCAAAAATAGAATTCCGTGTCCGTGTTTCTCATAATCTTTTGATTCAATAACTCATTGTTTCACATGTATTCAAATCATATTAAAATGAAAATGCATAAACATCAAACAACAAAAATAAGAGGAAGACGCATCCATATTTCAAAATCGAAGCCTCTCCGACAGAAATTTAGAATTAAAAAGGATCACAGAAAACAAATACGCGAAACAATTTAAACTCTATCCAGTATCCACATACATATGATTATACATATATACATAATCTCTTACAAAGGAATGTTACCAGATCACATTTATCGCGCTCAAAGTCGAGAATTTTGATTGCAACGACCTCGTTGAGTGGAGTGCACAGAGCACGATGAACCGAAGCACTGGCTCCAGTCCCAACCTCCTCATACAGAGTATAATACTCTGCTCCAATCGGATACTTTTTCCTCTCCTTCTCCATTGCACCCAAAATCACCCGTATATACACGCACACAAATCACAATGTACGCGAATATACGCAAAAAATCAAATATATTGCAGCCAATCAACGTCGAGGAACACTCCAAATGCAGCTCCGCTTGCTATCCACAGATCCGAACTGCAATTACCCAAAATCACCCATTAAAATCCGAGAAAAATAAAAAAAATACAGAGAAATTTTCCCCAACTCGATTCGTTTCGCTGCATGCGATGTCAATGGCGCGAGTAAAAAGGCGGAAAAAGGGGGGAAACTCACGGGGAACGAGCTTGCGTTTCGTTTACAGGCGGAAGCAATAAATAATATGTGAACCTAAAAATACGAAATAATAAATTTCAAAAAAAAAGAAAAGGAAACGTGATAGTAGTAATTAGAAGCAACCTGAAATCAAGGCCGTTAAATATAGATACAGATTTGATTGTACGTACAGGCGTGCGAGATATTCTGGGGGAACAAAAAAGTAAAAGCAGAAAAGGATTTTGATTATGATGACGAAGGGTTTGTTGAATGTTCTCGTGTGTGTGTGTGTGTTTTTAGTGTGTGTGAGAGAAAGAAGAGAGAGAGAAGAGAGAGAAAGGTGTTAAACGGATCGCCGCTAAGAATGGAGGGAGCGTTCGTTTTGTAACATATATAAATCCGGCCACCTGTTACGTTATGTACTTTTTAGCCAATTGGCTTTCCCCACGACTCTTTTTTCTTTTTCTTTTTTAGTTTATTTTATTTTTTTATTTTATTTTTGGGACTATGGTAAAAAGACGGGGCAAGACTTTTAAGTTTATGGTAAATTACAAAAATCCCCCTGAACTTAGGCTAAATAACAAAAAACATCCCACCTATCCGTAAAAACCAAAATCTCCATCTGATTAACTGTTGATCGAGTTTCTTTTATAGAAAATGTGTACAATCTATTATAATTATGTTAAATGGGTGAGAAATAAAAAAAAAAAAACTGAAATTGTGTAAAGTCTATTCTCATGAATAAAAAAAATCCGTGAAAAGTTACACTGTCAAAGGTTGATGTAAGATGGAAACAAACATTAGGGGATTTTTTATAATTATAAATAGGTAGGGGTATTTTTCATTATTTAGCCTAAAATTAGGGGTTTTTTGTAATTTACCCTAATTTTATTAGTTTGTTACCAAAATCAGCATCGATTTCATCAAAGTCAAAAGGGATACGTTGGGGATTGTTGAAAAGTGTACTTATTTTTAGTGTGGATCTATTTTAATTTGATATTACAAATTTAAACTTTTGTGATGTGATTATGAAATATAAATAATAGGGATATATCCATATTTATGTATCTTTTTATGTATCTTTTGAGTGTTTACGAAGAATATCTAGATATACATGATATTAAATATGAAAAACCGATATATTTCTGATTTATCGCTGATTAGTTACATTTGCACAGATTAATTGTGAGGAAGTACAATCCGATTCCCGCGTTTTACAACCTTAAATGTTAGACATCAACACACTTTAATTTACCAAAAAAACCATCTTCGCATAACCTTTTAAAGTATACTTGAAATTGTTTAAATGGAGTTTTATTTAAAATTTTGTGTTTAGTTGATGCGAGGGAGAGAATATGATTTCGTAAAAAATGAGATTTTTTTTATATGTATTTCTTTACATTAGGAAAATTCATATATTTTATGTGTAAACTAGGTGAATTATAATGGCAAACCACTAATTAATACATACAAAAATATACACATTTATATTGGTATAAATGGACGTAATTATTTGCAGGTAATACCACTATGTATAGTACTATATGTTTCCTTTGAAAACACTACTAACTTTAATTTGGTGAGTACACGAGGATTTCACTTTAAACACGAAATCTGAATAAATCAATTATAGTCAATGATTCAACTTTGCAACTTACGTCTTCAATTGGAAATAAAAAAGAATTAGTAAGAATTAATGAGTAATTTACACATATTAATTACACTAAGCACAGTTAAGAGTTGTCTCACAACGAATGAACTAGCGATTGGAGCAAGTAAATATGTGTCATTATTTGAAAATTCGAATTCGAATTACTATGTGATTTAAATTGATTGATTGCTTAAATTAAACTTTATTGCTTCTTCGTAATTATTATGTCACTATAGATCACAAAGTGGAAATATTTTTTTATGTCCACACAATTACCGAAAAAGAAAAAAATAAATAAAAGTGCATCACTTTGTACCAAAATAAATTATCATAACCATACTATAATAAAAAATAATCAGCTATGATGGCTAGAACAAAAACAAATATTAAATATTGGCAAGACATATGGCATTTACTTATTTAAGATGGAAAAATACATTTTTCGTCCAAGAAAAAAAAAATATATATTTGTAGAATGGTAAGATATGTAGCACGAAAACTTTAACTTATTAACGTTTCTGTTTTTCGGACACGTTTTGCGGCGGACACCCGTCGGACCTTTAAATGGGTCATTTTGTAATTTCTGAAAAAATTAGATACTTGAATATCAAATTTGCAAATATTTTTGTTGTTTTCCTAATTATTTGCACAATTTAATGATCAAAAAATTGATAGTTGATATTAAAATTTATTTTGAATATGTTTCTATGAAAATATATAAAGATAACTTATATATAATCTTTTTTTTTTACCTACTGTATGTTTATATAGTATATTTATAAATATATTCCTATAATTTGAAGAGTAAAAAGTAGTTTGCCCCCTAAACAAATATCCGTTTTGCACTTTGCCCCCGAAGAAAAACATTTTGCACGTTCTTTCATGAACTTCATTTTTTATTGCACAGTGCCTCATAATTGAAATTTTCAGGCCATTTTGACCGAAATCATACACACGTGCCTTTCAATTAGTTTTACAGGGGCAAAATAGTCCTATTTCCTTGCATTCTCCATAAATTAAAAAAAAATGAAAGAAAACAAGGGCTGCTGATCCGCGCGATTTCGGAACCAACTTCTTCTTCATCTATATCAACCACGGCGGCGGCGACGAGACACCCTCTCCCATCGTAATCGATTTCGTCTCCTGTTCGTCGATTCTCTCTCTTCATGACACCATCGGAGTTGGGTGGCATGGCGTCGATGCTTCCGCTGCACAGTACGGGTGGGTAATAAGAGGATGATGTCATCTCGGAATAGCCGCTCTGCCGCACTTCTCCAGATTTTCCCACCTTCTTCTTCTTCTTTTTTTTTTTTTTGAAGAATGTAAATAAATAGACGTTTTTGCCCCCGTAAAACTCACGGAGTTCACGTAAGAACGTGCAAAATGTTTTTGTTTGGGGGCAAAGTGTAAAACTAGCATTAGTTAAGGGGCCAAACTGCCTTTTACTCTAATTTTAATATTTACACTTTTCCCTAAGCTTCTATTTGTTGTTACTTGTTTTCCGTGTTCATTTCCCAATTTCTCCGTATCACCGTTTCCTTATCCGTGCTACATTGGTACGGAAAAATGAGGAATCTGGGCTAAAATTAGAGTCAATTTATTTCATCCTTCAAATAATTGATCAAATCTCCCCTGCTTAAAAGAATCCCGACATTTGCTTACACAAATTTGTCACTCGCCCCAAACATTTTTAGTATAAATCTCACATTTTTCCACATAAAAAAACCATCGACCATAGTCTCTTTTTGCAAATGCCGAATTTGCATTTTTGAATATAATTCATCGAACAATAATTCATACCCGACCATGCAAATTTTATAGAGATTTTTTCACATCTCCATTTTTCTTTTGTGTGGGACACTGGTAAGATTTTTTGTATATAAAAGGTACACAGTACACTTACAAAAATGTATATACTCAACAGCAAAATCCATGTAAAACAAAAAAGATGGAGGACCTTATTTTAAATATGGAAAGATATAGAGATCTTACAGTATCAATAATTTGGTAGCATTTTTAACCTATCGATAAGATTAACTGGATGAACTACAATCTGTTTTCAAGAGCTTTCAACGTAGATACGTATAACCATGATATATAATATTTGGGTAATTTGCATCCACCTCCCCTGAACTTTAGTATTTTGCCAAACATACCCCAAACGTTTAGCCTTTTGGCATATACACTTTTTTCATCCATTTTTACCTGAGTGGTCCGTTAGTTTACGGTGGAAAATACGCATTTACCATAACTTTGAACATAATATAGTAATTTGCATTTGCCTCCTCTAACTTTGATATATTTTAGCAACCACAACTTAAATAATAATAATAATAATTATTATTATTTTGGGTAAATTACAAATATCCCTGAGGTATGGTCAATTTACAAAAAAATCATCTTGTTTGGATAATTACATCTACCCTCTCAACTTATTTTTTTCTTACACCTCCACCCTTATGATGTCAAATTCAACATAATCATCTAGATTTCGTGAAATGTGCTATAGTTTGTACTCGTTTTGAGTAAAAATACAGTTTCTGATCTACCACAATCTGATATATACAGGTCAAAAAACACATATTATGATCATCTTGCTTCAAAATGCAGAGTTCGAATGGGATAAAACGATTCAAAAGTGATAACATTCCCTATAATCTCGACGATTTCACTAAATTTGAGGAGTTGAGGGGGTGGTTGTAATTATCCAAACAAGAGGGTTTTTTTTTTTTTTTTTTAATTTGACCATACCTAAGGGGGTGGTTGTAATTTACCCTAATAATTTTTTAAATTTTTTTTTTAATATGCAGCTCTTTCATCTAATTTAATTTAATTTTTGGTTAATATATTTTTATGTACACAGTTCAATTTTTATACTCCAGTTAATTAGTATTATATTTTTTTAATCGATTAATATTACATTAACATATATGGCATGACATTTTTTTATAAATGTAATAACAAGAAAAACAATTATATTACTAGCAACTGTGAACCTATATTATGAAAAAAAAAACCATTAAGCAGAAGTTCTTTCGATCCATGTGTGCCCTCGTTGCCCTCACCTCTTAATACTTTTTAAAATTCATATATACTTTTCATAAATATTGAAAAATAATGTCCCAAAAAGTTTGAGAAGATGTAAGATCGATAAATTAATTAAAAAGCCCTTTTGTAGCCCACATATTAATTTTACAAGGTAAGTTTTTTCTTTTTTTTTAATTATTTATATGTAATTTTCCTACTCTATCGCTTCACTGACAGAAAATGGATGAAGCGGGTGTATATGGCAAAATGTCAAACATTTGGGGTGTACTTGCCAAAAGACTAAAGTTCAGAGGAGGTGGATGCAAATTATCGTATAATACTTCCATTTTAAACAAAAAAAAAAAAAAAGCACATATACACACGCAAAAATCACCCGATGTATTTAACCGGGTGTAGCATCTCGACCGCCTACCAACTCGACTTTCCCCTCCGTTTACGTTTCCCTTTCTCTCTCTAACTCCCCTTATTTAAAGCTCCAATCTCTCTTCTGTTGAAACAATAGGGTAAGTTCATCATTTCATTTTTTTTTTCTTTTTCATTTTTTTGATCAAATCTTTCACTTTTTCTCATTCCCTAATCTTTTTATTTTATTTTAGCACGTGACCTTATTCTGGTTCAATAAGTGTTCATGTTTCTTGATCCTAATTTTTTTTTTTGTTCTTCTTTTTTTTTTTCCATCTACAAAATTTTATTTATATTTTTCGATCTGCAGTTTCAAAACCATCAAAATATAAGAAACCATCATCAAATGAAGTCACTAAATCAGATACAACCACTGCCTAAAATTAATAATGTTTTGATTACATTAATTAATTACATTTGTGGCTGTGGTTGTATGTGATTTTGTGAGTCCATTTAATTTGCTGGTTTATTTTTCGATTAATTATGTTATCCTTAATTATGAAAATTAGAGAATCCTCAAATTTCTCAATGAAAAGAACATTTAACTTTGTACTTACTGAAAATAATACTTTTGAAGGCAACAAATTGTTATTTTGTTTAATTATTGAGGCCCTTGAAAACATTTGGAAGGTGATATATATATATATATATATATATATATATATATATAAAGTTTTAATATAGATCAATATCATGATGAATATTAAAATGTTAAATGTCGTTTTAATTAATTAATAATTATAGCCTCAAGCCGTTCAAATCGGTTGTCAAAAGACATTTTTCATTAATATTTTCGGTCATCGTTGTTGAAGAAATTAAACTACAAACACAATCGCTTAAAAGCAGAAAGAAAGAATTAGGTCGGAAGTGGTGAAAGAATCACCATCGAAAGTAAAACTGAAAGAGCGCGCGCGTCTTGAGGTCCATTACAACGAGATAAAACAAGCTATGATTAAATTAAACCTATCTCCTTAATTTATTCAAAAACTTATAAATAACTTAGAAGAAGATAATTTTATTAATGATTGCCAAACTAATTATTACTTCAAATTTTTTTTCCCAATAATTGGATGTTTATTAGATACTACACTTATTGAAATACACTTATTCAAATGTGCGTGTGTGTTCATAAATCAATGGTGCAGAATCACCCGATCGACGACTGCAACATCTACGAACCCTGGATAAGCCTACCACTAATAAGTGACATCCTAACAAGCACTTTAGTATGCAAATTCTTCGCACCCAAGTCGGCCACTTTTGTGCCCATAACAAGTTGACACGAATTCACGAACCTCTCGCACGGTTCGATATCGGAAATCATGAGTTTGTATTCCTCCTCTGCAAAGTGCAAGCTCGCGTTTTCGAAATTACTTATCAACGACAAGTACTGCTGTATGCAAATCCTATAGAGGTTTTTAACATCTTGTCTCTTTTCATCCGACTGCGCCTTCTGTAGGTATATACGTGTATCGGACGCGCTCTCCAATGTTAGGGCAAGAGCTACCTGGGTTAGCCCTTTAGCATCCATTGAGTCGCTGTACAAATCTCCGTAAAAAGATCTTTGACAATCTTTGGAATCGTCCGTCTGTCCGCAAATATTGTTTATCAGTGCTTGAGTTGCAGCATCCGGTGCACTCGATGAACGTGTGATCAAAACCAAGATAATTGCCGTTGAAATCAAGAAAGCACAACGAGTAGAACCCATTTTTTTCTTCGATAAAATTGTTTTTTTGTTGTGTTTTTTGCATGTAGGTGGATCATGTATTTATACATTAAAACTCGAGTGGTGGATTTTATGAATGATTTACTTGAAATATATTTGTTTAGTGAAGATTTGTCAAATTTAGTGTTGTCTCTCTAAATTTTTTGTTGTGATGTTATGTAAATTATATGAATGGTGTAATTAAATTTCAAAGACATGTTCATCATATGGTGTTATATGTTGAGCATTGAATATACATGGTGATGATAATGTTACCAAAAAAAATTGATAAATTTTCATAATTATATTCAAATTATGAAATTATTATGTTGGTCAACATTGATATAGTATTGTCACGTTTGAATTATGTTTGTACTATACAATAACACAAATCTAGCATTAATTTTCTTGCATTTCTTCAATTTTGACTTGACTACATTTGTAAATATATATCAATTTAACGCATTAAAAAGAAATCAAATTAGGGGAATTTAATTTATAAAAATTCGTGGAAGTTACTAAGTATTATAAAGCTCTTAACATTACTTCAAAACAATTTTGCAGGTTTCAAGAACAATTAAAATAAGTAAAATGAAATAAAATAATTGTGAAAGAGAACTACAACTAAATTTATTGTATTTAATTGAGAGTTTCAACTTTTATTGCAGACATGAATAATTTGAATTTTTTCTATTGATAAACATATTGCTACTAATTATATTTTGTTAATCTATATAATATATAAAAGTTGAATTCCACACCTAATTGATTGACATTTGTCAATTTCAATTGGTGACATGTATTCAATTTCATCCCATGTGGCAAATTGATTGGTGAAAATAAATCATCAAAAAACATGTCACCATTTTCCAAAATTAAAAGGATATTAAATTATTTTATTATATATTTATATCATACCATTTATAAAATGCTCTAAATATATTAACTTTCTTGGAAAAACTCTAAATAGTTTTATTTTTTAATTTAATTTTAATAATAATTAATTTAATTTAAATTCAATTTAAAATCTTCACTTATTATAATTGTATGATTGAAGGTGTTACAAAAAAATTGTATTTTAATTCATAAGCATGGATTCATATAAAAAAAATATTGCATAATAAATTATTTGATATTATACATTTTACATGAACATGACGAGACAATATGTTTATCTTTTTTCACTAATTTAATATCATATTCGTAATTACCAAAATTTCCCTGATGTTTGTTTTCGTCTTACATCGACCCCCTTACAGTATGATTATCCACGATTTTTTTTTATTACGTGGAATATTCCCTGAATAATGCAGATTCTATCATGCACACGACATTTCTTTATGATACTTTTTAAAGACAAAAATTACCCTGAGGGGGACTTTACACGAAATATTTATTCTTCTTAAATAACATTTTCACACAACTTTTTAGTATTACTATTACCTCCCCTAAGGGTAATTTTTGTATTGAAAAAGTAAGATAAAAGAAATGTCACGTCTGCAAGGGTAAAATTCACAATTTTTTGGGATATTACATGGAATAAAAAAGATCCCGTAAAAAATCACACCATAAGGGGGTCGTGTAAGACATAAACAATCATTTAGGGGATTTTGGTAATTACCGATAAGTGGGGGGTGCTTTATGTAATTTAGCGTAAGTTCATGAGGATTTTCGTAATTTATCCTATTAACAACGATTATCGTTATTTTCACGTCTTAACATTTGCTTATACCCTTATATAATTTTAATAATTTTAATGTAAGCTTGATAATATAATTAAATATTAATTTCTAATATATTAAATATGTGTTTCTTGATGTTTCATGTACCATATATAAGGAATTTGATATAAAAGTTGCGAGATTGAATATAATTGTTTTTTATACAAAATAATAGATAATTGCAAAAACATTGATGCAAAATCAGAATTAAGAGTGTGATTAGTATCAGCATTAGAATTAGGATTATAATTAATATTCTTTGAATTAGTATTAGTATTAATACTAGGGTTAGGATTCGGATTATGATTAATATTAGTAATTGAATTATAATTAAGATTATGATTATTGATTAGTACTACAATTAGTGACATGTATTAGTATTATGATTATAATTAGCCTTAGAATTATGATTCTGGTTAGAATTAAAATTAGAATTATAATTAGAGTTAACATTAGCATTAACATTAGTATTATTAGTAGCAAAATTATTAGGATTATAATTAATGTTAGAAATAGGTTTAGGATTAGAATCATGATTAGTGTTATGAATAGAATTAGAAATATGATAAGGATTTTGATAATATTAGTATTACAATTATAATCAACATAAGAATATTCAGATTAGCATTAACATTAAAATTAGTATTAGCATTATAATATCTACATTAGCATTAATATTAACAATATTAACATATTAGTATTAGAAATAATATTAATATTAGTATAAGTATTGGTATTGGTATTAGTATTAAATTTAGTATTAGTAATAATATTAGTATTAATATTAGTTTTAGTAATATTATTAGTAATAATATTAGTGTTAATATTAGTTTTAGTATTAGTATTAATTTTAGTATTAATATTAATATTAGTCTAAATATCACTATCAGTATCGGTATCGGCATTAGTATCGTCATCAATATCAACATCCGCATCGGTATCGGTATCGGTATCGGTATCAGTATCAATATCAATATCAGTATCATTATCAGTATCAATTTTAGTTTCAGTATTCGTATCCGTATCAGTATTAGTATCAGTATCAGTATCAGTATCAGTATCAGTATCAGTATCAGTATCAACATTTGTATCAATATCAATATCAGTATGAGTATCGGTATTAGTGTCAATATCAATATCAATATCAGTATCAGTATCAATATTAGTATCACTATCAGTATCAGTATCAGTATTAGTATCAGTATCAATATCAATATTAGTATCAGTATTAGTACGAGTATCAGTATGATTGTGAGTATCAATATGAGTATGAGTATCAATATTAGTATGAGTATCAGTATGAGTATCAATATTAGTATTAGTATTACTATGAATATTAGTATGAGTATCGGTATTAGTATCAGTATCAATATCAATATAAATATTAGTATTAGTATTAATATTAATATTACTATGAGTATCAGTATTAGTGTCAATATCGTTATCAATATTAATATTAGTATTAATATAATATTACTATGAGTATCAATATGAGTATAAATATTAGTATCGGTATCAGAATTATTATTGTTATTAGTATCAATATTAGTCTTACTATTAGTATTAATTTTAGTATCAATATCACTACTAGTATCACTATAAGTATCAGTATTATTATTAGTATTAATATCAGTATTAGTCTTATTTTTCGTATTAGTATTAGTATTAGTATTAATATTAGTATTAGTATTAGTATTAGTATTAGTATTAGTATTAGTATTAGTATTAGTATTAGTATAATATAACTATCATTATCAATGTAAGTATCAGTATTATTATCCGTATTAGTATCAATATTAGTATTATTCTTACTATTAGTATTAGTATTACTATTGGTATAAGTATTAGTATTACTATTAGTATCAGTATTAGTATTAATATAGTATTAATATTAGTATTATTATTAATAGTATCAGTATTATTATTAATATTTGTATTAATATTAGTATTAGTATTAGTATTAGTATTAGTATTAGTATTAGTATTAGTATTAGTATTAGTATTAGTATTAGTATTAGTATTAGTATTAGTATTAGTATTAGTATTAGTATTAGTATTAGTATTAGTATTAGTATTCGTATTAGTATTAGTATTAGTATTAGTATTAGCATTAGTATTAATATTAGTATTAGTACCGGTATTATTACAAATATTTGTATTAGTATCACTATTAATATTAGTATTAGTATTAGTATTAGTATTAGTATTAGTATTAGTATTAATATTAGTATTATTATTAGTATAAGTATTAATATTAATCGAATTAGTATCACTATTGGTAACAATATTGGTATCAGTATTGGTATCGGTATTGGTATCAATATTGATATCAGTACTGGTAGTTGCGTATACATCATATCTCTTTTGCAATATTTATAAGTTTTATTGTTGTTTGGGTAATGTGCATCACTATTTGAACACCATAAGTGATAAATTTGCAGGTTATTTTGTGTTACTTCTCTGCCACCGTAATTGTTGTTACCTTAGTTATTTTGCAGAAGATTCACATGGTGTAGTAGATTGCAATCTAAGAAATAGAGTTATACCATATGTTTTAAATGATTTCACTTAATCTTGATATCGTGTTTTGCGCGCTTCATGTTTTTTTATTTGTAATATTTAACTTTATTTCATACGTTACAACTAAATTAAGAGATATTGTTTTACTTGAATTGGTATTGTTATAAAGAGATAATCGTTTACATAAGTTTATTTTTCTTATTTTGAAACTGACCTCCGTGCAACGCACGGGTGAAATACTAGTTAAATTTAACAATGAATTCCTTGTCTCCAAAATATTATATGATATCTTTCTTTGGGTTTAGTTTATGCATTAGGTCTTCAAAATGTATTTACGAGAGAACATCAATAAATTAATAACGTAAATAATATTGATTTCCAGTCTCGACTTGAGGATAATATGCTAAATTATTCTTTCGATAAATTAATATTTGTTATATTAATAGAGTTGGCCGGTCCAGCTATATTAATTTATTCAGGTTTAACTGTATTCTATAAGGCTGAATGATGAACAAAATTAAATGATTCTTTAATTGTTAGTGAAATAAATTCATTAGTGACGAGTAGTCCTAATATACCAATTCCACCCCTCCATGGGGATGCAAAGAGCAATCTTTCAAGTTTTAGGGGGTAGATTGAGAGTGTTCATATAGTTGATGGGTGAAGTATT